GATAGATAGATAGATAGATAGATAGATAGATAGATAGATAGATAGATAATAGAAGCCTTTGTTAGTTGGCAGTATGTTTTTTGTTTTGTTTTTGTTTTTTTTTATTTTAAGTGCTTTCAGTATATCTGAAAATACATTTTCTTACTAAATACTAAATATATCTAGCATCCAAAATTTCTGATGAGAAATCTGCTAGTGATTTATTATTTAGGAGTCCTTTTATGTGACTTCTCTTAGTGTTTTCAGAGACCCCTCGTTGTCTGGTTAATTTTACTGTGACGTAGCATGGGGCTCTGGGTTTGCCTTGCTTGCTTCTAAGGTACTTACATTTCCATCTTCTACCAAACTCTTGAACGCTTCCAGCCATTATTTCTCTAAAGGGTCCACCTCCTTCCTCTATAGTCTTCTTTTGAGGTTACCACAGTGTATATGCTGCTCTGCTTTACAGGGCCATGAATTTATCTGGGCTCTGTCTACTTTCTTTAGCTTTTTTCTTTCTGTTTCTGATAATTGCCATTATCCTCTCTTGACATTCCCTGGTTCCATCTCCTATCTGCTCAAATTGACCTTGCACCTACTTTAGTTGATGTTTTAATGTTTATGTCTAGTAGACCTGCCATCAGGTCTTTTCTGAAGCAGGTCTATTGATGTATTGTCTACTGATTTTATTTTTTTAACCTTTGAGTGGGGCATGCTTGTTCATGTTCTTTGTTTTTCTGTTTTAGATGTTTGATTCTAACATGATAAACCTGGATGTTGGAATCTGCCAGCGTTCTGGTTTTAGAATGTTTAACCTAAGATCCTTTTATGTCTTTCCTGAACCTTTTCCTCAGTGTGAACATGCATAGTGATTTTTCTGACATGTCACACACACACACACACACACACACACACACACACACACACACGGATGCTTTTGAATACCCTTATTTGTTAGACTTCCAAAGAGCTAGAAAGGAAATTGGAGAAAGGAAGGCATTCATCCTTTTCGTTTCCTGGAATTCACATCAGCAACAGTAGCTATCAGTTAGAAGCAGCCATCAATAATCAGAACACAGATCACCATACTTAAAGCATGGGATTTTTTTTCTGAAGCCCACCTTAGCTCTGGAAAGATGACATGTAGCTGAAAAAGCCCATGTAGCTGAACCTGACCATAATTACTGAATTTCCATTTAGGCCTTCCCCTGGGAGTTGCCAGCCTTTCATAGACTCCAGAGTTCAAAACCATTAGAAATGTGTCAGGGCAGCTGTCCCAAGTAGGAAGATGGATGCCAGGTGCCTCCTGCTTTACCTGTTGTCATCTCTGTGTGTGATATACACACAGCCTTTATGTTTTTTCACTGAGCCAATTTGTGCCTTTCTCTAGTGCCTGAGATTGTGAGGGAGACCGAAGATCTCATTGAGCAAGGGGCCCTCCTGCAGGCCCACCGGAAGCTGATGGACCTGGAGTGCTCTCGAGATGGGCTGATGTGTGAACAGTACCGCATGGACAGTGGGAATAAGCGGGACATGACCCTCATTAATAGCTACTTCGGTAAAACACAGGGCCTCTCTGATGAGCTGGCCAAGCAGCTGTGGATGGTGCTGCAAAGATCACTGGTCACTGTCCGCCGGGACCCCACCTTGCTAGTCTCCGTGGTCAGGATCATTGAAAGAGAAGAAAAAATTGACAGGCGGATACTTGATAGAAAAAAGCAAACTGGATTTGTTCCTCCTGGAAGGCCTAAAAATTGGAAGGAAAAAATGTTTGCTGTCTTGGACAGAACTGTGACAACCAGAATTGAAGGTACACAGGCAGACACGAGAGAATCTGATAAGATGTGGCTTGTGCGCCACCTGGAGATCATCAGGAAGTATGTCCTGGATGATCTTATCATTGCCAAGAACCTCATGGTCCAGTGCTTCCCTCCCCACTATGAGATCTTTAAGAACCTCCTGAGCATGTACCACCAGGCCTTGAGCACGCGGATGCAGGATCTTGCAGCAGAGGATCTTGAGGCCAACGAGATTGTGAGCCTCTTGACATGGGTCCTAAATACCTACACCAGGTAGACCTGCTTTCATGCCTTATGTGTCCTTTTATCTAAAATCTTCTAAAAGCACACTGACCAATGGTTTACACTCTCATGCAATTTGAACCCATACCTTTTTTTTTTTTTTTTTTTTTTTTTTTTTTGTGACTTGTGAAGGGCTTTCTGTTCTGCCCTTTGGGGACTTATTTTTGAAGCTGAACCAGTCCTTGTGTGGGTACAGTTGTTTCTACATGGTCTCTGCTATCTGCCTTGAGCACTCTGTTTTGTACCATGATATTATTTTCTGTGCTTACAATGTGCATTCTTGCTTCTTCACAGTGATTCCCTGAGACAGGTATAGTATTGGAACGTTTTATAGTTTTGGAGCATGTAACCCTAGGAAACTCAGAAACTTATTCAGAGTCACCAGGCTGGTGACAGGTTTTGTTTTCCTCACCAGTGCACTGTAGCAGTTAATCACCAACCTAGTAGCCCACACCTGTAGTCCTAAACTCAAGAGACTGAGTGAAAAAATGATTTGAGTACAGCCTGAGCAGAATAGCAAGACCTATCCCAAAATCCAACAAGAATATATAGAAAAATATGTAGACTACATGGAAAACTCAACTGTTCCTTTTGCAATACAGCTTGAGACTATTGCGTTATGTGAAGGAACGGAGCCACTTTATGCATGAAGTAGAAGGTGGACTTTGAAAAATGTCTCTTGGAGGCTATTGTGAGATGCTTTAAGATTAGGTAATTTAAACAGTTATTAATCTTAACTTTGATTGGTTTTATGGATAGAAAACAATGTTAAGTAATATGCTGAAATTTCTTTATTTTTGCCCATCTTATCACTGTGGAGAAAGAAAACATAATTTTAACAGTGATGTTTATTTTGTGTATCTATTGTTTTAACTCTTTCTACTAGAGTGTTTCTATACCACAATACAGAAATATCTGAACAGAATGAACTTGTTAACATGGATGATGCTCATTATTTGATAACTTAAAATTTTTTTATTTTATTGCTCTTAATTATATAGAAGTATATATGTGTCTGCATATGATTATGTCTATCTGAGTGCAGGTTCTTAGATGCCCATGTGTTGGATCCGCTGAAACTAGAATTACAGATGGTTGTGAGCTGCCTGATATGGGTGTTGAGAACTGAACTCAGGTCCTCTGAAAGAGCACAAGTGCTCTTAACCACTGAGTCATCTCTCCAGCCCAATTGTTTTGTAGCTTTCACATGTACAGCCCTGGACTTTTCGTCTTTACCTCTTGGAAGGTCCAAATAGTCTCCATTATTCCATTCTATAGTCTTTCACACTACTAAGGCTAGACCATAGAGTGTCACGTGTCCTAGACTTTTGTGAACCCATTTGCTTGTGCACGAGACAGTGGTACTGTGATCATCTCCACTTGGTAGAGGAGGAAACTGAGGCACAGAGGGAGTAATATGTTCCATTTCTTATAGCTAGTGACAGGGGAGCAAGATGCAAAGCTAGAACCAGGGCCTTTCCCAAATCTGTACACTGAGCCATGCTGAGAGTATCTTTGTACTTAGGAATTCTCTTCACATTTATCATGCATGCTTTATTACACTGGACCCTGGAGAAACTTAGCCATTTTCCCTCTGGAAACACAGGGCATTGAGGTTTTGGTGCCAGATAATCAAGATTAAACAAGTAGTCTTTTAATAAGGGCAGATTTTAGTGGAGTTCTTTTTCACTCAGAAAGCTCTTGAATTTCTTACAGCTGATAATATTATTCAGTGTTATTCTAAATATTTGAGAAGGAATATGAGTGTTCTAAGTGATGAGCCCTAGAATTTTGTGAACCCAGTTGCATGCACAAATGTATTTTCTCTGAAACTTAGCCTTCTGCAAAGTAAAATTAATGTTATCTTTTTTTCCCCCCTTACAGACGTGTCCTTCAGTACCATTTATTCCTTGCTGTAGTCTCACAGTCCTGTAGGGATTAGAAACTTTTATGACAGTGCTTAGTGTTCCAAATAACAGTGCTTACCCATTATCTTCTTACTTAATGAAGTGTGGTGATTTGACAATTTCTTCTTGCCTGGTCCTGGTCTCATACACCATAAGTTAAGACAGCCTTAATCTGAGTGCAAGCTCCCTATACATCTGAAACAGTGTGAAGAGGCCATATTGAGATTACATGAGTGTCTGTATAGCCTACATGGTGACCTCATGGAATGACCCCCAAACCCCTGACCTTTCACTTTGTACTCTCCATGAGGCCCTCTGCTCTTCCTGATTTTGTGGATTTGTAGAAGTGTCAGCATTGAGATCTCTAGGATAGCGCATTTACAGGTCTAGCCAAACACGTAGACTTACTCGAGGGTGTTCTGTTGTGGTTTGTCATTTACACCTGGTTTTCTCTGCAGTGCAGAGATGATGGGCAATGTGGAGCTAGCCCCAGAAGTGGAAGTTAGTGCCCTGGAGCCTCTGCTCTCTTCAAATGTGATCTCTGAGCTGCTTGACACGTACATGTCAACACTCACAGTGAGTAGAACTGGGTTACGGTCCCAGAAAGTGCTGTGGTGGTTGTCTGTCTGTAATGTGCTAAGACATCTGTTTTTCTGGGTCTTGGCATGTACACTTTCTGTAAAGAAGGGATACCTGACTCTGGCTTGGTTCTGGAGCTCATTTAAATGCATTTCACAGACATGTGAGTCTCTTCTGGAGGAACCAACCTGTGTCACCCATTTGGCTGGCAAGCCCTTATGTCTACATGTGGGGTGACAATTTGGGGACCCCAGGGCAAGGCTGACATCAACTTTATAACCATTAGACAAGATGAGAGTCTCTGGGGTCTGGAGAGCTTTGTTCTGCTGTTGCCTGAGATGACTGAGCTGTTAAGTCTGTTCTCTAATGTCCTGGGCTAACCGTAAGATGCTGGACATCTGTTTTTTTCCTTCAGTGTAATGATCATCCACAGCCCTCCTCGTCCTTTTCCCTCTTTATCTACAGTTAGAGTTTTAGTGGTCCACCTATGCAGAGACCAGTATGAGCACTTCACACTAATGAATTACATGTGAAGTGCCTGCTCTAGCAGGCTGTATGCTTGGGAGCAAGGATTCCTTTGAAAAGCTGCATCTCGTCTGTGTAGTGATGAGTCCTGCAGGGAGAGTGTCAGATATAACCTAGAGCCTGTTTTTTCCTTTTCCACTCTACCAAACTCCTAGTCCAACATCATTGCCTGGCTTCGGAAAGCACTGGAAACAGACAAGAAAGACTGGAGCAAAGAGACAGAGCCAGAAGCAGACCAGGATGGCTACTATCAGACTACACTTCCTGCCATTGTATTCCAGGTACAAGTCCTAGATTTAAAGGTCCCATTTCCAATGTGGTTAATAGGATCTTTTGGTTTCATAGACAGAAAATCTTTAGACTATACAATGTAGTGAAGATGTTAAGAGTACCCTTTCCCTAACATCTCTGTGCCTATTTTCTGGAGCTAAAGAAACTGAGGCTCAGGATTGTATTGACCAAGTGACCCAGGATCACTTGAGATTTTCCAGAAGATCTTTTTGGGTCTGAGCTAGAAGTTAATTATATGTTTGCTGTGCATGGTGCTCCCACTCTGTGCTTTTTTTGCGTTCCATGTTGGTAAGTGGTCAAGACTTGTCTTAAAATGCCACATAATTGAGTTTAATCTGGTGAAATCCAGGAAGGCTGCATGGCATTTAAAAGATACTTTCTTATCACTAGATAGTACTGGAAGTTAGGGCTGTGGATGTTAGGGCAATGGATGTATCACTAGGCATAACCATCCTCATGGGTCCCACCTCTTTGTCAGCCCTCTTGTCACACTTTATCACCTCATAGATATAATGAAAGGGTAGATAGTTCCCTGTGGTAGAACTCAGGCTGACGGTACCTAGAAAATCATGTGCTGGGTTTTTCTTACCCACTGGAGTTTAACTTCATTGCTTTTCAGATAGTTTTATTGTTTTCTTTGAATTTGGACTATCCCAATTGTCAGCTAAGGTTTTTGTTTTTTTTTTTTTTTATTAATTGTATACTTTCTTTTTTGATATTATTATACAATTACATCCTTCTCCTTCCAGTTCCTCCCTCCAGACTCTCCCATATACTCCTCCTTAATTTCTTTCAAAGTCATGGCCTCTCTTTTTAATTAATTGTTATCACATATATTTATGTGTATGACTATACATATATTTGTTTAACTTTATAAATACAACCTGATCAGTCTGTATAATGTTACTTGTACGAGTGTTTTTAGAGCTTGCCATAGTGGATAACCAGTTGGTGTGCTTTTCTCTAGGGAAGACTATTTCTCCTACTCTCAGCATTCCCAGTCCATAGTTGCCTCTAGTTCTTTGTCTAGGGTAAGACTTCATGGGTGTACCTGACATTTCTGGAGACACAGTCTCACACCTTTGGCTCTTACAAGCTTTCCTACCTCTCTTCCACAGTGATCCCTGAGACTAAGGTGCAGGAATTGTGTTGCAGAAGTCTCAGTTGGGACTGGGCTCCACAACTCTGTGTTTTGGTTGGTTGTGGTTTTCTGTAATGGTCTCCATCTCTTGCAAAGAAAAGTTTTCTTGATGAAGGGTGAGGACTACATTTATCTCTGTGTCTTAGTCACTGTTCTGTTTTGCTGGGAAAAGACACTGTGACCTAGGCAACTGTTAGAAAGAAAGTATTTAGGGTCTTGCTTATAGTTTCAGATGTTTAGTCTATTATGGTGGGGTACTTGGCAGCATATATGGTGCTGGAGCAGTAGCTAAGAGCTTTACATCCTGGTTCACAGGCAGACAGAGAGACAAAGTCTAGATGTTAGTTATCACTGCGGTATGGATACCGCTACTGCATCCTTACCTGTCAAAGACTTTTTATATCTGTTGAAATGATCATATGATTTTTTTTTTGTCTTTTAAATCCACTTATATGATTTCTTAAATTTATTAACTTTTGTGTGATGAACTATTCCTGTGTTTCAGGGATAAGTCCAACTTGGTCCTTTTTTTTTTTAAATGTATGTTTGTATTGTTTTGTTTTGTTTTTTTTTTTAAATCTTTCTGATGTATCTGTAGTCTCTGTAAGTATTTTATTCAGCATTTTGTGTTCATCAGACATATTGGCCTTTAGTTTTTGTTTTTTTTTTTGTTTGTTTGTTTGTTTTTTGTTTTTTTTTTTTTTGTCATTACCTGGTTTTGGTCTTAGATGGCTTGATAGATGTTCTCTCCCTCTCTCTCTCCCCTTCTCCCTCTCCTCCTCCTCACCCTCCCCTTTTCTTCCCTTTCTCCCTCACCCTCCCCTTTTCCTTCTCTCCTTTTTCCCTTCCCTCCCCTTCCCTCCCTCTTTCCCTCTCCCTCCATCTTCCTCTCACTTCCTCTAAAACTGTTTGAGAATGATTGGCTGTAGTCCTTCATTAAAAGTCTTATATAATTTTGTGAATCCATCTGATCCTAGACTTTTTATTATTATTTCAAATTTTTTGTTTGTTATGAGTCTGTTTGGGTTGTTGATATCTTGGTTTAATTTTGGTGGTTTCCTGAATCTAGAAATTTATTTCTTTTAGGTTTTCCAACTTAATGGAGTATAGATTTTGAAAGTATTCCCTTATAATATTCTGAATTTCTTTGGTGTGTATTGTATTATTTTCCTGTTCATTTCTGTTTCTGTAAATTTGGATCTTCTCTTTCTTTTTCTTTACTTTTATTGAATTCTGTTTTTCAAGTCCTGGACTGTCTTTAGTATTTCTATCAGCCTTATATTTGTATTTTCTTGGGCATTCTTGTGTAAGTTCTTTTCTTAATTTCACCGGGCTGCTTCTTTGTGTCTTTAAATTCCTTGAATTATTTGATGAAGTTCTTTTGCATTCTGTTTCCTGAGGTTCACCTAGGAAATTCTTTATTGGCAAAAATTTTATAAGGTTTGGTAGGTTTTGGAAGAGAGATAAATGTTTGATCTTTCATATTGTTTGTATTTTTTGTAATGAGTTCTGGGTATGTACACTTCTTTTGTTAGCTCTGTGTCTGGTGTGACATAGTAGATTGGTGTAAAAGAAAGGATACACAGGTGGGTTGAGCTTAGCGGTTGGAAATTGCTTGGGAGGAATGAAAGGTGGATAAGAGAAACTGGGCTGGTATGCGAGATGTAAGAGTATATCTGGCTCAGTGGAGAGATTGACTGTGGTGTGGTGGGAGCCTGTGGGTCAAGAGCAGGCAGGGTGGGTCATGGGAGAAGCCTAGAGGTTGGTTGAGGTAAGACAGGGGTGGCCAGACAAGACCAGGCTGCTGGATGAGGGCTTCAGGCTAGATCTAGCAGGTTAGAGGTGGGTTGTCAAGCAGAGGTCAGGCAGACTCGCTAGCATAGACCTTGGAGATGGATGTCTCAGGTAGAATTTTATTAATTGGAACATTATTCTAAACTCTTGTGAGACAGTTTCAGAATTCTTAAGTTTTTCAATTTTTAGATGTTTGAACAGAATCTTCAAGTTGCTGCTCAAATAAGTGAAGATTTGAAAACAAAGGTACTGGTTTTGTGTCTCCAGCAAATGAATTCTTTCCTAAGTAGGTATGTATTTTTGCCGGTGATCTCACTTATAAATTATGTGTTTTAAAACTACTAGCAAAATTTGTTGATTCTAGTATGCTGTTATTAAAAGATTAGCCATCCTTTGTTGTTCAGAAATGTAAAAAAAAAAATGTTTAAAAAAGAAAAAGAAAAGATGTGCAAAAATGAAAACATTTTAAATAGATGGGACAAGTGACATACTATATCCCAGTAGCCTTTCCCTGTGAATTGCTCACATAAAGATGTCGAAGCCTAGACAGAATAATATGATGAAATCTGTTTTCCCATCATACTACCCAGGTTCTTCTAAGCCACCCTTACATGGCCTGATCTCTTATGACTGTCTCCCTTTTGTGCCTTCTTTCTATCACTCTGATGCCCAAATGTTGCTGTCCATATCCCAGATTCTCTGCTATCACCACAACAACATCAATCATGTAGTGAGTAGCTGACAACTTATATTAGAATTCAGTCTAGGTTGGCAGGTCTGTGTCACTGTGGTCTAGGTCTCTAAGCCTCTGATGGATGATTGCTGACCTTCTCCCTCTTTACCAGGAGCTACTCCAGAGGCTGACATGGATCTCTTTTTATTTACCAACACGTTTTCAACATTGCAACTTAGTGGTCATATGCCTGTCCTCCTCTGACAGCTCAGTTGCCAACCATTCCCTTTCTATAGAATCGCATTTGCTACCCACCTATGGGGTTATGATTTGATCCCTGTCAGTCTACCCACAGGGTCACAACTGATCTCCACATTCCACCCATAGAATTATAGCTGAGCTCCTGAGCCTATTTATGGTGTCATGCCCAAGTATCTCAAGGCTGTCACTTCTCAGGGTCACTCCCAAGTTCATTTTGAGGTGGGATCTTTTATGAAGAAGATTTTTCCTTGATCGATATGGAAGCACAGATGAACAAAATCAGAATAAATGTGTAGTTTTAAGTTAATAAACCAAAAATTTATACAGTACACTTACTGAGCTACTCCTTTATTTCACTGTATATTCAAGAATCTCCTTAAAAAGAAATGAAAGAGTGGCATTCTGGGCATTTGTTTCCAGATATCTAAAAAACTAGTTATTTTTTTGTTTCATTTCTTTATAGAGTTTTGAAAAGGAACATCTTATCAAATGTATAATAATGTTTCTTACACCACTGAGGGTTTTGTAGAATGGGGCACTGTGCCATAGTGTGTATGTGAAAGTCAGAGGACAACTTTGTGGACTTGGTTCTCTCCTGCTACCTTTATGTGAGTTCCAGGGATCTACTTCTAATGGACAGGCTTTTGTGGCAAGTACTTTTATCTACCGAGTCCTCTCTCTGGCCCTGTTATATGAGTTGTGGGGTGAACTGTTCATGAGATGAAATAAGGTGACACTTTCCTAGTTACATGCTTCAGAATATTTTCATGTCAGAATATCAAATCGTATTTCAAAGCCTGCTATAAAAATATCTTAAAAATTCATTTAACATGATTGATTCTCTCCTCTTCCATTAATATAGACCGTCCAGAAGTGTGTTTGTGTTTAAAGACTTCTCTGGTCCAAAAGTGGTGATATGAGTTCCCTGACAGGTATGGTGTCTGCCTGGCACTAAAGACAGCTTTGGGGTTCCCCAATGTAATTTCAGATACAAAGATGAAGCTCAGCTTTACAAAGAAGAGCATTTGAGAAACCGGCAGCACCCACACTGTTATGTACAGTACATGATTGCCATCATCAATAACTGCCAGACTTTCAAGTATGTGCTGTGTAGGACAGAGAGGGACAGAGGGCATGCAAGCATGTATTTACTTTTCAGAGCCCTTGATGTTTCCTTGCAGAGAATCCATCGTTAGTCTGAAAAAGAAGTACCTAAAAACTGAAGCAGAGGAGAGCCTATGGGTGAGTCAGCTGAGCATGGATGTGATTCTAGATGCCATTGCTAAGGAAGGCTGCAGCAGTCTGCTAGAGGAGGTCTTTCTGGATCTAGAGGTAGGTGTGGCTCCTCCACCCCTGGGGCTAGAGCTTGGGGCGGGGTCTCATGATCATCTTTGGGATGCACTGTCACCTGCCTCATGTAGATGCTGTATGTGAGCTGAGATGTTTCTTTCCTTATGTACTAAGCTACAGTCAGAGGGCCACTGACTGCCTTGTATGATGCAGGACCCTTCCTAGGCAAATTTGGATAAAGGTTCCAACAGATATCAGGCATCAAACAGAGTAGCAAGTTACATGACAAGTCAAGTGTGTAGAAACCTGTAACAAACCCCAGCGGAGAGCACACAGGTCATATAAATCAGCCTCACTTTAGAATAAAATTCCAACATACAACACACCCAAAATCATTAACAAAATAATTTTCATTCATAGCAAAAACGTAACGTACCATAAAAAATACAGCCACTTAGAACATAGATACCAGCATAGTTAAATGCTTTATCAGGAATTAGCAGACATTAAAAAGTAGAACTATGACCATCTGTGGGTCTTGCTGCAAAAGAATCTTTTTTTTCATATTCCCAGCATGGTCATAACCCCAGAGCTCAGGGGAATAGAGACAGGGCTATTGGGGCTTGCTGGCCAGCCAGTGTAGCCAAAGTGGTGAGCTACAGGTTTAGTTTAAGACCATGTCTCAAGAGAGTAAGGTGGAGAGTGATAGAACAGGACACAGTATCCCCCTTGGCCTCTTTGTGGGCCACATATATACCAGTTGAGAAAAGAAGAGATATTTATCTTTGGGGTTATTTAAAAATAACAACAACAGACCTTATATAAAATGACCTCTGCACAGAAAAAAATTACCAGAGTCTAAACATGAGCCAGACATCCATATATATATATATATATATCACAATGTATCACATGTATATATATATGTATCAGATGTGTATATATATGTATATACGTGTATATATACATACGCATGTATATGTATATATATGTGTAAGAATTGAGTGGATACATTATGACATACCCATATAATAGATTGCTATTACATGTAAAAACCAATATCTAACCTGTTGTTTGTGATGCTTTTTACAAGGCTTGTATATATAAAATAAATCTCCCAAATGTAAAGTACAAATCTGCAGATTACGTAAAAGCAGATTTTTGGTTTTGTTTTAACGAGTATATCACTGCCACAGTCAGAAAATTTCTGTCACACCAAAGAGTGCCTACTCTGAGGTACAGGTCATCTCAGACATTGTGCCGGGTGAAGATTTGCATGATCACTTTGTGCTTTTCAGCAACATCTGAACGAGCTGATGACAAAGAAGTGGCTGTTAGGGTCAAATGCTATGGACATCATCTGTGTTACTGTAGAAGACTATTTCAATGACTTTGCCAAGATTAAAAAGCCATATAAAAAGGTAAGCAAATGGGTTTTAATACTGAGCCTACCTCCCATCTGGTTTATAATTCAGTGTCAAAATAGTGCTCTGTTTATGATCACGTGCCAATATTGATGTGATCTAAAGAAGGTGAAATAATGAGCTTGGATTGGAATGTTCTTTTGAGAAACATTGCTCTTAATTTTAATGTAGTCAAACTTTACTCCTTTTTTTTTTTTTTTTTTTTTTTTTGGTCTATCTATTTAAAGCTTATTTTTTTTTAATTTCTTTTAACTTTTTTAAATTTTTTATTAATTACACTTTATTCATTTTGTATCCCCCCATAAGCTCCTCCCTCTTCCCCTCCCAATCCCACCCTCCCTCCCGTTTCTGCATGCATGCCCCTCCCCAAGTCCACTGATAGGGGAGGTCCTCCTCTCCTTCTTTCTGATCTTAGTCTATCAGATTTCATCAGAGTGGCTGCATTGTCCACTTCTGTGGCCTGGTAAGGCTGCTCCCCCCTCAGGGGGAGGTGATCAAAGAGCAGGCCAATCAGATTATGTCAGAGGCAGTCCCTCTTCCCATTACTATGTAACCCACTTAGACACTGAATTGCCATGGGCTACATCTGTGCAGGGGTTCTAGGTTATCTCCTTGGATGGTCCTTGGTTGGAGTATGAGTCTCTGGGAAGATCCCTGTGTTCAAATTTTCTTGTTCTGTTGCTCTCCTTGTGGAGTTCCTGTCCTCTCCAGCTCTTACTATTTCCCACTTCTTACATAAAATTCCATTCACTCTGCCGACAGTTGGCTATCAGGCTCAGCATCTGCTTTGATAGTCTGCAGGGCAGAGGCTTTCAGAGGCCCTCTGTGGCAGGTTCCTAGTTTGTTTCCTGTTTTCTTATTCTGGCTTTCAGAGGCCCTCTGTAGCAGGTTCTTAGGTTGTTTCCTGTTTTCTTCTTCTTCTGATGTCCATCCTCTTTGCCTTTCAGAATGGGGATTGAGTGTTTTAGTTAGGGTCCTCTCTCTTGCTTAGTTTCTTTAGACGCACAGATTTTAGTGGGTTTGTCCTATGTTGTATGTCTATATGAGTGAGTATATACCGTGTGTGTCTTTTTGCTTCTGGGACAACTCACTCAGGATGATCCTTTTCAGGTCCCACCATTTACCTGCAAAGATCATGATTTCCTTATTTTTCATTGCTGAGTAATACTCCATTGTATAGATGTACCACAATTTCTGCAGCCATTCTTCAGTTGAGGGGCATCTGGGTTGTTTCCAGCTTCTGGCTATTACAAATAAAGCTGCTACAAACATGGTTGAGCAAATGTCCTTTTTGTGTACTTGAGCCTCTTTTGGATATATGCCTAGGAGTGGTATGGCTGGATCTTGAGGAAGCGCTATTCCTTGTTGTCTGAGAAAGCGCCAGATTGCTTTCCAGAGTGGTTGTATGAGTTTGCATTCCCACCAGCAGTGGAGAAGGGTTCCCCTTTCTCCATAACCTCTCCATCATGTGTTGTCACTTGAGTTTTTGATCTTGGCCATTCTCATGGGTGTAAGGTGAAATCTCAGGTTGTTTTGATTTGCATTTCCCTAATGGCTAATGAGGTTGAGCATTTCTTTAAGTGCTTCTCTGCCATTCGATATTCCTCTATTGAGAATTCTCTGTTTAGCTCTGTTCCCCATTTTTTAAGTGGATTACTTGGTTTGCTGCTTTTCAGCTTCTTTAGTTCTTTATATATACTGGATATGAGTCCTCTGTCAGATAAAGGGTTGGTGATGATTCTTTCCCAATCTGTAGGCAGTCGCTTTGTTTTGATGACAGTGTCCTTTGCTTTACAGAAGCTTTTCAGTTTCATGAGGTCCCACTTATTGATTGTTGCTCTTAGAGCCTGTGCTGTTGGTGTTCTGTTCAGGATGTTTTCTCCTGTACCAATGAGTTCTAGGGTATTCCCCACTTTTTTTTTTTCTAGCCGATTTAATGTGTCTGGTTTTATGTTGAGGTCTTTGATCCACTTGGACTTTAGTTTTGTGCAGGGTGATAAGTATGGATCTATTTTCATTTTTCTACATGTAGACATCCAGTTGGACCAGCACCATTTATTGAAGATGCTGTCTTTTTTCCATTGTATGGTTTTGGCATCTTTGTCAAAGATGGTGTCCATAAGTGTGTGGGTTTATTTCTGGGTCCTCTGTTCGGTTCCATTGATCCACCATTCTGTTTCTATGCCAGTACCATGCAGTTTTTAAAACTGTTGCTCTATAGTACAACTTAAGATCAGGGATCTACCTGATCTTAAGGTATCTGGAGGTATCTACCTCCAGAAGATCTTTTATTGTAGAGGATGGTTTTAGCAATTCTGGGTTTCTTGTTATTCCATACGAAGTTGAGAATTTTTCTTTCCAGGTCTGTAAAGAATTGTGTTGGTAATTTGATGGGAATTGCATTAAATCTGTAGATTGCTTTTGGTAAGATGGCCATTTTTACTATGTTAATCCTGCCAAGCCATGAGCATGGGAGATCTTTCCATCTTCTGATATCTTCTTCTAGTTCTTTCTTCAGAGACTTGAAATTTTTTTCATACAAGTCTTTGACTTCCTTGGTTAGGGTTACTCCAAGGTACCTTATGTCATTTGTGGCTATTGTGAAGGGTGTTGTTTCCCTAATTTCTTTCTCAGCCCTTTTGTCTTTTTTATACAGGAGGGCTACTGCTTTTTTTTGAGTTAATTTTGTATCCAGCCACTTTGCTGAAGGTGTTTATCAGCTGTAGGAGTTCCCTGGTAGAGTTTTTGGGGTCACTCAAGTATACTATCATATCATCTGCAAATAGTGATAATTTGACTTTTTCCTTTCCAATTTGTATCCCCTTGATCTCCTTCAATTGTCTTACTGCTCTAGCAAGAACTTCCAGAACTATGTTGAAGAGATATGGAGAGAGTGGGCAGCCTTGTCTTGTCCCTGATTTCAGTGGGATTGCTTTAAGTTTCTCTCTGTTTAGTTTGATGTTGGCTATAGGCTTGCTGTATATCGCCTTTACTATGTTTAGATATGTGCCTTGTATCCCTGATCTCTCCAATACTTTAAACATGAATGGATCTTGGATTTTGTCAAATGCTTTTTCAGCATCTAGGGAGATTATCATGTGGTTTTTTTCTTTCAGTTTGTTAATATGGTGGATCACATTGATGGATTTCCGTATATTGAACCACCCCTGCACACCTGGGATGAAGCCTACTTGGTCATAGTGGATAATATCTTTGATGTGTTCTTGTATTCGGTTTGCGAGTATTTTGTTGAGTATTTTTGCATCAATGTTCATAAAGGAGATTGGCCTGAAGTTCTCTTTTTTTTGTTGGGTCTTCGTGAGGTTTAGGTACCAAGGTGACTGTGGCTTCATAGAATGAGTTTGGTAATGTTCCTTCTGTTTCTATTTTGTGGAATAGTTTGAAGAGAACTGGAGTTAGCTCTTTTTTGAATGTCTGGTAGAATTCTGCACCGAAACCATCAGGTCCTGGGCTTTTTTTGGATGGGAGACTTTTGATGACTGCTTCTATTTCCTTGAGGGATATAGGACTATTTAATTGATTTACCTGGTCCTGATTTAGCTTTGGTAAGTGGAATCGATCAAGAAAATTGTCCATTTCATTTAGATTTTCAAATTTTGTTGCGTATAGACTTTTGAAGTAAGTCCTAATTATTGTTTGGATTTCCTCAGTGTCTGTGGTTATGTCCCCCTTTTCATTTCTGATTTTGTTGATTTGGATGGTGTCTCTCTGCCTTTTAGTTAGCTTGGCTAAGGGTTTGTCTATCTTGTTGATCTTCTCAAAGAACCAGCTCTTGGTTTCATTGATTCTTTGAATTGTTTTATTTGTTTCTAATTGATTGATTTCAGCCCTGAGTTTGATTATTTCTAGCCGTCTACTCCTTTTTGGTGTGTCTGCTTCTTCTTTTTCTAGGGTTTTTAAGTGAGCCATTAAGTTGCTTGAATGAGCTGTCTCGAATTTCTTCTTGAAGGCACTTAGTGCTATGAACTTTCCTCTTAGCACTGCTTTCATTGTGTCCCACAGGTTTAGGTATGTTGTGTCTTCGTTTTCATTGAGTTCTAGGAAGACTTTAATTTCTTTCTTTATTTCTTCCCTGACCCAGCTGTCATTTAGTAGCAAATTGTTCAGTTTCCATGTGTGTGTAGGCTTTTTGTTATTTCTGTTGTTGTTGATGTCCAGCTTTATTCCATGGTGATCAGACAGGATACAAGGGATTATTTCAATCTTCTTGTATCTGTTGATGTTCACTTTGTGACCAACTATATGGTCTATTTTGGAGAAGGTTCCATGAGGTGCTGAGAAGAAGGTAAATTCTTTTGTGTTTGGGTGTAAGGTTCTGTAAATGTCTGTTAGGTCCATTTGATTCATGACCTCTGTTAGAGATATTGTTTCTTTGTTTAATTTCTGTTTAGTTGATCTGTCCTTTGTTGAGAGTGGGGTGTTGAAGTCTCCCACTATTAGTGTGTGGGGATCTATGTGTGGTTTAAGTTTTATCAATGTTTCTTTCACATGTGGGTGACCTTGTATTTGGGGCATAGATGTTCAGGATTGTGATGTCTTCTTGGTGGAATTTTCCCTTGATGAGTATGAAGTGTCCTTCCCCATCTCTTTTGATTAATTTTGGTTGAAAGTCTATTTTATCAGATATTAGAATGGCTACTCCTGCTTGCTTCTTGCATCCATTTGCTTGGAAAGCCGTCTTCCATCCCTTTACCCTCAGGTAATGTCTATCTTTGTGACTTAGGTGTATTTCTTGTATACAACAGATTGCTGGGTTTTGTTTACTCATCCATTCTGTTAGTCTTTGTCTTTTTATTGGAGAATTAAGTCCATTGATGTTGAGAGAGATTAATGCCCAGTGGTTGTTAGATCCTTTGAATTTGGTGTTGGCTGTGGTCATACGGTTGTGTGCTTGGTTGCTTTTTGTTTTACTGTAGTGAGGTTATTTATTTCCTGTGTTTTCTTGAATGTAGCGTTTTCTTGGGTTGTATTTTCCCTTCTAGTGTCTTCTGTAATGCTGGATTTGTTTGTAGGTATTGTTGAAATTTGTTTTTGTCATTGAATATCTTGTTTTCTCCGTCTATGAGGACTGAGAGTTTTGCTGGGTATAGTAGCCTAGGCTGACATCTGTGTTCTCTTAGAGTCTGCATGATATCCGTCCAGGCCCTTCTGGCTTTCATAGTCTCTGGTGTGATTCTAATGGGTTTGCCATTATATGTTACTTGGCCTTTTTCTCTTGCAGCTTTTAGTATTTTTTCTTTGTTCTGTATACTTACGGTTTTGATTATTATGTGGCAGGAGGATTTTCTTTTCTGATCTAATTTATTGGGTGTTCTGTAGGCCTTTTGTATTCTTATTGGCCTCTCCTTTAAGTTGGGGAAATTTTCTTCAGTGATTTTGTTGAAAATATTTTCTGGGCCTTGGTGCAGGGAATCTTCTTTTTCCTCTATTCCTATTATTCTTAGGTTTTGAATTTTTATGTTGTCTTGAATTTCTTGGATGGTCTGTGTCAGGAATTTTTTAGATTTAACATTTTCTTTGACAGATACATCTATTTCTTCCATTGTATCTTCCCCACCTGAGATTCTTTCTTCCATTTCTTGTAGCCTATTGGTTATGCTAACCTCTGTAGTTCCTGCTTTCTTCCCTAAGTTCTTTCTCTCCACAGTTTCTTCTATTTGTGTTTTTTTAATTTTTCCAATTCTATCTTCGGGTCTTGAGCCATTTTGTTGGTTTCCTTCACCTGTCTGACTGTATTTTCATGTTTTTCCATCAATTCCTTCAGCTGTTTGTTTGAACAATCCTCTGTTTCTTTTATTTCATTCAGTGATTTAAGCATTTCCTCTCTAAAGGCCACAAACTGTTTGGCTGCAGCTTCCTCTATTTCTTTTCGTATTTTATTTGTTTCCTCTGTTATCTTCTTCATGAGCATAGATGTTAGGTCATCTTCTTGAATTTCAATTATACTGGTGTGTCTAGGGCTATTTGCCCCTGGATAACTGGGTTCTGGAGATGCCATATTGCTCTGGCTTTTGTTGGTTGAACTTTTATGCTGTCCTCTACCCATTGGGCTATCTTAGGTGTTTGAAGTTAGTTTCTGGTTGTTCCTGGACTCCGGTGGTGGAGAGAATCCCTTTGGCAGGAAGATGGTTTTTCCTGAAGGAAGCCTTCTCAGCTTTTTGGGTATAGTCACTGGATGGCTGGTGTTTTTTAGGAGTTGCTACAGCTCACCTCAGGCATAGAGACCTGGGTGGTAACTGTGGTCCTTATTGGCTGAGAGGACTCTCTTCTCACTGGGAGAAGTCCTGGAGACAGCTGCCCTGCTTCTGGGTTTCTTGCTGTAAATTTAGTGATCAGCTGCTGTAACCTGTGCATCCTGTGGTTTGGTCAGTTTTGTTAGGGATAATGCCCCTTGGAGCATTATCTGGGGGTTGATCTCAGGGTTCCTGGTCTTTTGTAGGTCTGAGGTTGGGGCTCTGTACCCCAGAACCCAAGAGGTAATCTGTGGCGGGTGAGTATTGCTCTCCTGGTAACAGCAGGCTATCTGGGGCACAGCAGGTCCCTGGGTTGGGACAGTCTGTGGGACCTTTCCAGGGATATACTGGGTTGCCTAAGTCCGTCCCCTTTGCTTCGTTCCTTGTTCCTTGTGAGGGTTTCTCCAGACAGTGACTCCAAGACTCTGGTGTCTTGGGGCACACAGTTCTGTCTGTAAGGAGTAGTTGGTGCAAAGCAGGTCTCTGGGCTGGCGGCGCGTGCGCCCGCCTGCTAGTCTGCGGGAGCTGGGTTCCCAATAACTCTGTGCTCCCTGCTTGGGCCGGGATCCGTGATGGCTGGGCGTACTCGCCTGTCTGCGGTCTTCGAGACTTTCCCCAGGCAAAGCCTAGGTGACCCAAGCAGCACGGTTTCTTCCTTCCCTGTGGGGCCCTCTCCGGACAGGGATTCCCAGTCTCTGTTGCACTGGGGCGCACAGCTCGTCTGTACTGGTGAGCTGGGCGCGCAGTCACTCTCCGAGCGCGGCGGGAGCTCAGTTGTGATGGCAGCGGGTACCCGAGGTCAGGGAGACCTTCCAGGGAAAGACTGGGTGACCCGTGATCAGACTCGCAACTTTCCTTCCCCGTGGGGTTTTCTTGAGACTGGGACTCCCAGTCTCTGGCACCCTTGTGCCCACCGATCAGCCTGGGAAAGTGATCGGGATATGCAGGCGTGCAGCTCCAGCCCCGAGACCCAGTGCCTGAGTTACCTGGGATCTCTTCCGGGTTCTGGCTGGGCAGCCGAGAGTGGACCTGACCGATTCCCATGCCGTGGGAGCCTCCCCTCACCTGGGAAACACGATCGCTGTAGTTTTAGGGCCCAGAGTTCAGTCTCCTGGTCGCTGCACGGAGAATGCTGTCCCGCTTCACAGACACAGTGCTCTCCCGGCGCCGCCATCTTGACCCCCCCTCACTTTTCTCCTTTTTTAATAGTTACTTTTTTTTTTTTTGGAGAGGGATCCTAAAGAATCTTTTCATACCCCAAGAGCATGAAAATTATTCTGAAAGTTAGCTATAAAAGTGACTTTCCCACCACAGTGCCATGTGGTGAGGCAGGGCAGGGGGCGGGGCCAATATAGAGACCTGCCTTGCCTCAGCACAGCAAGGGCAGGTGGTGGACATGCAGAGGCCTGCCTGCCACCATGTAGCAAAGCCCTGGAGGAGGAAGACATCCAAAGACCCACCCAGACGCAGAGGCCCGCTTGCTGTCATGCCAATAGGCATCAAGGGGGAAGACATCCAAAGGCCTGCCAGTTGTGTGGCCCACTGGCAGCAGGAGCCACTGTTTGATGACAGGTGGGAGATAAAGAGAAGGCAGAGAGATGAACTGTTGTGAGCAGCCAGCCCTGCCACCTAAGGCCATGGTGAAGTCCCAACCCATGCTGCCACTGAGTGCTGTGTCTGGGTTGGTGGTCATGCAGGGGTAGGTGACCAATATGTCCATTGGTCATATTACTTTTAGAGACAATGGGGACATTCCTGGTCTGGGCAGCTGTCTGGGACCATGTAGATGTCCAAGGGGTGTGTGAACTGGCCCAGGCCCTCGATTGTTGTAGCATCTGGAGAGCTGTCTCCTAGTATGTTTGTGGTCTCTGGTTTTTATTTCATGTGTAGAAGATGGGTCTCAATGATGGAGGCTATTTGAGGAAATTATATACACTTTTGGCCATGTCTTAGCTCCAGTCTCAGCCTGCTTACAGCTTGATTTAATTAATGTCGTATGTTCCTTTGTCTTTCTGGGAGTCGTGTGGAAGTCCAGTGTGATAGTGGTTATGTGTGAGTCTCCATTTTGGACCAGGGACGATAGCCCACTTCGCTGACGGTGAGCAGATTCCAATAGAGAGGCTACAGCCACCAGCCATTACATCAGTACAATTAAGGGTTCTTACTGAGTTAAGTATCTACTTCAGTAAGGCTCTATCACTTCCATAAGGGAATCTGATCTCTTCAACAAGCCAGCTTTTCTGCTACCTCTACCATGTTGGTTCTCAACTTTTTCTTGGCTTTGTAATGCCCCAAAGGTTTCTTTTCTCATTTAAGTCTTTCCTGAAGATTCTCAAGATATTTGGCCTGTGGTTTTGTTTTGTTTTAGCTGAGGGTGCAGGTTGTTGTTGTTTTGGTTTTTTCTACCAATCCGAGGCTGCCTGTGAATGACATACTGCTGTTTGAGCTTCATCTCTGCTAACCTCTTCATGCTAAGACAGCCTATCAGTCCATGAGGTCAAAGTTTGTCTGGCTCAGGCAGTTCTACTGCAGCTCTACTTTGTGTTGGTTGAGAGCCTCAGGATTAGGCAGAGTTGGAACCTCTAAAGGAGCTGGTACCAGGGCTAGGGCACACATCAAGCAAGTGCTAGCCTGATGTTTGTTAACTGGAGTCACCAAAGCTCGCTTGTAGATAATTTAGTGTCCCTAGAAAAATGGTACTGGAAGCAAGTTCTCCCAAAGACTTAAAGCTCTCTGATTTTTGGACAGAGTGTAAGCATTAAGGCTGCCCAGGTTATGTGCAGCCTTCTTGCCTCTGTGTACATGCTGTGCTTGCCAGCTGGCCTATCATAACTCCTGTCACTATGTACAGTTAGGAGATTCGAAAACTTGCTGGTGAAATTCAGGTATGTTTAATTTAACATACTTACTTTAAAATCCCACCAAATATATGGCCAGGTGCAAAAGGATTGTGAGTTTGAGGCAAGCCTGGACTATATAGCTAAACCATGTCTCAACAGGAAAAAAAATCCAACTAAGTTGTTGGAAATCAGAAGGACATACACCAGCCTGTTTGCAGGTCATCTTAGGTTCGATGAGAACAAATGTGTGTTCTAGCACTGTGGAATCTGCAACTGACAAGGTGTTTTTCCCCAGAGAATGACAGCTGAGGCGCACAGGCGCGTGGTAGTGGAGTACCTGCGGGCTGTCATGCAGAAGCGTATCTCTTTTCGGAGTGCTGAAGAACGCAAGGAGGGTGCTGAGAAGATGGTCAGAGAGGCTGAACAGCTCCGCTTCCTCTTCCGGAGGCTGGCATCTGTGAGTATTGAAGCCATAGGCTCAGGGATGGTGGATCTCAGGTTACAGTGTTGTGTTACCTAGTAGCTTGCTTTTGGTGTCTATGCCTGGACTGTTGAGGCAAGATAATGGGATCAAGCAACATCAGGAGCCAGTGGCTGGCTAGTTCTGTTTATCAAGAGGAGGTTCTGGGGCCAGAGCCTGCCTAGCTTCACAATTGATACGTGAATTTCCACAAAGGCTGATACTTTTCAAGGCAACTCTCAAGACTTTTCTGGCAGCAACCCATGTGTAACATCATAGAATAATATATCTCTTCATGTCCCTTTGCCCTCAACTTTTTGTTCTCTATGATTCTTGTTGCTACCCAATAACCTAACTCTTTGGCTCAAGTGGCCATGACTAGATATTCCTCACATTTTCCTGTCTAGAAACTAAGTAATGACTAATCAAATCACCTCATGAGATTGTCCCCTGATCCTTGGTCAGAATGAATCTTGGGGTATTTACATGGAAGAACAAAGTCCACAGCCTGAAAACATGTTTGGAGATGTCAAGATCAAATTGGGACTACTGCAGGACATAGTTTTTAGGGCTGTCCCTCACCCTGCTGCTGTTTTCCAGGGATTTGGTGAGGATGCAGATGGACACTGTGATACCATTGTTGCAGTGGCAGAGGTTATTAAGCTCACGGACCCTTCTCTCCTCTACCTAGAAGTCTCAACACTGGTCAGCAAATATCCAGATATCAGGTAAAGGCTGAGCATCTTTCTGTCAGCACGTAACACAACAGGCCATTCCTACTGCCCTTAAGATAAGCAGTGAGTATCAGGAGTCAGAAAGAGCATGTATGTCAAATAAATGTAAAGAGAAAGATTGTCGGGCCTGTGGCAGTGAGGGTGCAACAAGAAGTCATCTGAGCAGCCTCCCACCATCTCTACCTCAGCAGAGTCTGGCTGAGGTTTGCACACCTGCCTTGTAGCCAGACTCCTTTGCCTAAGAGAGTAGTAGTCAGAAGGCAAAGCTAACTGTACTAGGTAGGTGGTGTTGGGAAGGACTGAGTGTTAGATCTTTGATAAGTAAAGTAGGGAAGGTTGTGATCCCTGGAGTGGTCTGAAAGGTGATTTTAAATCCCATGATCTAAGAATGAAAGCTGACTTGTATGTGGCCTGGACTTCCTCATATATATGTGCACTCAGTATCAGGCTGAGGGAAAGGGGTATCTTCTCCATATCCCTCTACCTGCTGTGCTGGCTCCAGGCCTCAGACCCTGCCTTTGTGACCTCCACTCCAGGACCCTGCCACTTCCTTTAAGGGTAAGTAAGGCAAAGTTGTCTCATTGACACTGTCAGAAGAGCAAGAGTCCTAAGCCCTCCAGAGTCCCTCTTCCCTGGTTAGGCATTCGTGACACCAGTAGTTAAAAGAAAAGAATTTTAACAGTTCTTTACATTTTTCAGGAAGAAAGTAAGGTGAAATTTTGGGTATATCTCTTCTGTAAAAGAAGAGATGTCCTTTGTGGCTGTCAATATCCTACCCTGTTAGTGGCACCTGTGGAGACTGAGGGAGCTGACAGAAGATGGAGGCTCATGCTGACTTCTCTCCCACAGGGATGACCACATTGGTGCACTGCTGGCGGTGCGAGGAGATGCCAGCCGGGACATGAAACAGACCATCATGGAGACTCTGGAGCAAGGCCCCATGCAAGCAAGCCCCAACTATGTGCCCATCTTTAAGGAGATTGTTGTGCCCAGTCTGAACGTGGCAAAGCTCCTTAAGTAGCCCTGCTTTCCTCACTGCCCTGGGTGTCTTTACTGTATGGCTTTCCTGTTGCCACCCTAAGAAGTGTATTAAAACAGAAGTCCTTGTCTAGGTGCCCCATATGGTGTCAGTTACCCTTTCCTGTCTTCTGTGGCATCACACTGTGCCCTGCTATGAAACCCTCTTGGTCACTTGTCATTGTGAAAGAAAAGATGTGTAGTGGGCATCACCTGTTCTTCCCTGCTGAGGTCCTGCTCTGCTTAGTTAACACACTTTAAACCTTTGCCACTTAATTTTTTGTTTGTTTTTTGTTTTTTTTTTTTTTTAATTTTATTTTTTCTTATCAGTTACATTTTATTAACTCTATATCCCAGCCTTGTCCCGATCCCTCATTCCCTCCCAGTCCCTCCCTCCCTCCCTCATCCCTTTGCCACTTAATTAAAGGAAAGTGTGGATGCTTTTCATTCCTAGTTGTAGGTTGTTCTGACTGGTTGTGGTCAGACATATTCAGAAGCTACCAGTCATCAGGTCTCAGCTGACCACTGAGTAGTCCTGAGCAGTCTCTGGGGATCATCTGCCCTGGGCTTGCTTTCTTTCTTTGTTGTTTGTTTTTGGTGTTTTGTTTTTTTTTTCAGGCTTTTTTTTTATTCTTTTTTTTTTATTTTTATTAATTAGTTTATTTATTTGTATCCCACCTGTAGCTCCCTCTCTCCTCCTCTTCCATTCCCATCCTCCCTCCCTGTTCTCCACCCATGCCCTTCCCCAAGTCCATGGGGGAGGTCTTCCTCCCCTTCCTTCTGATCCTAGTCTATCAGGTCTCATCAGGACTGGCCTGGTAAGGCTGCACCCCCCTGAGGGGGAGGTGATCAAAGAGCAGGCCAATCAGTTCATGTCAGAGACAGTCCCTGTTCCCATTACTATGAAACCCACTTGGACACTGAACTACCATGGGCTACATCTGTACAGGGGTTCTAGGTTATATCCATGCATGGTCCTTGGTTGGAGTATCAGTCTCAGAAAAGACTCCTGTGTCCAGATTTTTTGGATCCATTGCTCTCCTTGTGGAGTTCCTGTCCTCTCCATGCCCTGGTCTTTCTTCCTTTCTGGCTGTCCACAACTCTCCATATAATGGATGGTTGTCATCTCTTCCTTCTTCCAGACCTCCAGGGACTGCCTACATCAAACAGTGGAAGGCCTGGTAGGGTCTGTCCTATTTCCTAGGCCGTGTACCACATGGCTGTCCATGAATGTGTAGACTAATGAAATATTTTCTTTCTATTCTTAATGTCAGTGTTAACATTCTGCTTTTATTTCGTTCTTAACAAGGTATAAAAAAGTTCACAAATAACCCTTTTTCTAAGTGGAACTAAGTAAAAGTTTCTCTGGGACTCAGAAGAAACATGGATTTCCTAGAGGGCCTGGATGGTATTGCGTTGATACAGGCCTGCTCAACAATCTGCTCAGTGTGAATGACAGCTGGGCATGCTCTTTAAATGTGCACTGAGAAGTATTGACCAGTAGCAGTGACCCTTGTAGTGACAAAAGGTGCTTGTGCCTCCACTGAGACTTCCTACTGCAGGCTGCTGCTTATGTCTAAGAGGTCAGCAGAGGACATGGAAAATCATATTCCTAAACAGTGGGTAGTGGGATCGTGGAGACAAGATAGGGATTGCTAGAAGTCAAGGGGTAGTAGCAGGCTGTGTGCTGGTGGATAGACAGCATCCAGTGTGATAGCAGGGAAGCTGTGACTAAGGACCTTTGTAGAGGACACCTATGTACAGGATTGGATAGGCTTTTCCGGTGACTGGGTTGTGCCACATAGAGCACCTCATAGTGTCTGCTTCTTGATGTATAGTTGCCGCATGCCAGACAGGAAAGTGTTTTAAGGTATTGGTTCCACGAAATAAGCTCTTAACTCCATGAAAGGGTGTCTTCCACGTTAGCAAAGGCCCTTGACTGTTGACTATCTTAGTCATGAGACACCATGACCAAGGCAACTGTTGTTTTAAAAAGCGTTTCATTAGGAGCTTGTTTGAAGTTTCAGAGGTTTAGACCGTTATCATCATGGAGGGGAGCAAAGCAGCATGCAAGCAGGTGCTGGAGCACTAGCTGAGAGCTGTTCTGTAGGCAGGCACACACACACACACACACACACACACACACACACACACACACGGATGAGGGAGAGTTGGAGAGAGACTTGACTGACTCTGGGCTGGGCTGGGCTTTAACCTACCCTATGACATACTTCTTCAACAAGGTCATACCTCCCAATCCTTTCAAATAGTTCCACTCCCAGGTCACTAAGCTTTCAAATATCTGAGCCTATGGAGGCCATTTTTATTCAGCCCATCACATTGACTTTAGTGGGTCCAGCATGAGTAGATGTTCCAAGTTATGCTGGGTCACCAGGGAGATGGAGAGGCAGCCCGGAGATGCTGTTTCATCCTCCTTTCTTCCTATCTTTTGATATACAAATCAGGTTGCTGGTTGAGGTTCCTCTAAAGAAGGAAAGGATGGACATTCTGGGCACTTGGGTGCAGATTGCCAGAACCAGGCCACCTCAACAAAGTCCTTTAATCCAGAGTGAGAGAAAGCTGAACAAACAGCCACATTGGGTCACTGTAATGGACGTTTTGGCTTCTTTAAAAACTCAGTTATGTTATGTAAACATGCTTTCGTTTTAATCCCAAGTGTGGGATGTTGCTTTTAGTTTATCCACAGCTGGTAACTGCCTCGTGTGGCTGTGGCTCAGAGACGAGCATGGTCTTTGCTAGCTGCAGTTTAATTTTGAGGACTCTTGAGAGGGTATAAAGACCAGAGCTCAAAGAGAGGAAAAGGATGCTTCAGGGGATGCCCCCCAAAAGGAAGAAAGCTGCTGCTGTGACTGCTGGATTTCCTGACAACCCTAACAAGCTGGACGTAACTAGAGACCTTTGCCCCTTCTCCCCACTAGCGCTCTTTCTCCCCTATCTTGTATTGGGGGGCGGGGTGGAAGGGAGGTAGAGGCTGAAGAAACCAAAATAAAAGTATGCCTACAGGTCACTTCCTTTCTTACTGCATTGGGATGAATTGTGACCCCTGAAAAGGTTGAGGTCTTAACCTTAGAATCTTGACTCAGACTTGGGTTGAAGGTGGAATAATTGCAGTGTGATGTATATCATCTGATGAAGTCACATGGAAACAGTGTGAGTACTTGAGGAGAGAGCTGGCAGCCTTAAATCCAAGAAGAGGCCAGGGAGGACTTGTTTCCCAACCCCTGACCTTCATTTCTGCCTCTAAGGCATGAAACAGACTTTGAGTCTCCCAGTGTGTGTGCTTTTGCTAGTATACTCATTATAGCCACCCTGAGATGACTATAACTGTTGAGATTCCTCTTGTAAACAGCCAGTCTCTGGGGAATCTGCTTTGATATGCAATTTTAAATGTGATTTTAAAATGTGTTGCAGGACCTCCAGACCTGATGTTTAACAAGTTCCACCACACACCTCTGCCTTGCACTGTCCTTGTCTCCACCCACAGAGACCCTTCTTGGCCACCAGGCTTGGTGCCCTTTCCCACCATTCCTTCTCACGCAGTTTGATCTTTGTAGCACCTCAGCCATGGTGGGTGCTGTCTAAACTACCCATTGTCCAGTCAGCCACAAGAAGCAATCTGATCTGTTTCATATCAGAGATGCTAAATTGGGGCTTTAGATGTCCTATTCCCACCCCTAATAGGGTGACCTCAGAAATATACCATCTGTTGATCTCAATCTCAGTGCATAATAAAGTGCTCTTTAAATTATCCTGGGCAGGACTTTTCATTTATAAACAAAGTTTGCACCAGAATGCCTTGAAATGTTTTTAATAGACTTCAACAAGCAGTCGTTGCAGTTTTGCTGATGGACTCTGTGCAGATGCTGCCCAAATTAGCTGCATTTTAAGGCACCAGTATTCTGTGATCAAAATTAAACAAAATTCAACTATGATTATGTTCATGACATCAATGCACAATTTCAACCACTCAAAATATATTTCTAGCTTTGATGAAACTTAAATTTCCTTTCATAAAAAGATCAGTAATACATAGCATATTGAACACTGTAATAAAATTATTTTCAAGAAAATACAGAAGTGGAAATACAAATTTCCTAAATTTTTATACTTTGTAGTACCACAAAGTTGGTCAAAGTTCAGTATTAAATAAATAGAAATTCTCTCTAATAAAAAACTTTTACAACAGTTTTCCTAAGGAAATACATTCATAGGATTTTCTATTCTATTGTACAACAATGACAAGAACAAGAGGGTCCTCAACCATGAAATGTAGCCACCGTGTCATCTAATCCCAGGAAATGGGTTTTTGTGAATGAGGTTTTCTTGTCAAAACTGATTACATGTGGCTATGCCCAGTGGCATATTTCACAGCTCAAAGGACATGCCCTGTGCACAGCTAAAACACGGGACAGAGTGTCAAGAGGTTCCATAGATTCATTACCTGGCTGCTAGCTTTGGTATCTCTGGGTATCTGGTGCAAGGTGACAGCTGTTGAGGCACTGTCTAGTCAGAGTTGGCTTCTAATTCTGTAGTGGGAATTAGACTCCATGTCCAGCAGATCAAGTGAGGTGTTAAGGCAGTGTCCTGGCACAGGCAGGTATGAGAAACTTGTCTGCAAAGCTGGGCTGAGAGGTGCCTCTCAGAACCACCCCCTGGTACAGTAGCCAGGCACAGCCTTATCTCAGAGGTACTCCAACGGCACTGTCAGAGAAGTCTGATGAAATTATTGGCCAAGTCATTGCACAGTGGCTGGACTTCAATTCAGAAATGGTCAAATGCAGTAAGGGAGAAGGGCCGCAGAAACCAAATGGTGAGCATCTTACGGCGGAGTCTGAGCGCTCCAATCAACAGCGAACTGACTGGTTCAGTTGGGGAATGACACTCTGAAGCACAAAGCAGTATGTTGAGCAAACTTGCTTTGTTTTCATTCATTTCTCTTAACTGCCTTCCTATCTATGATTCAACTGCAGCATTGATACACATCAGTGGACCTTCCTGTGACTCCTCTGAAGGTAACTGTCAACCTTGTTCCTGAGACACGGTATTTAGTTTCCTGAGCAGAGACCTGAGTGGTTTGTTTCAGAAGTCTCCAGGAGGTCCCTAAGTCCACCTTTAGCCCCATCTCAGTATCCCTCAGGTGAGCCCCTGTGGTGTAGGCCAGATTTACAGTGTGCAAAACTCTTCCAAGACTGGACCTCTGATGAGGGCCCACCCTCTTACCACTGCAGGGAGATGGCACTCTAAGGTTTAGGCCCTGAAGTCCTGGGGACAGGGGAAAAGCCCAGACAGTGGGCACCTGCATGAGGTTTCCCCTGCCTTCAGCAGATGGAGCCAGAGAGCTGGCTATAGTTCTGACCAAGGTTTCCTCTGGACCCCCTCTAGTGCCCTGGCCCAGCCAGCCTAGCCATCAGCAGCAGTGTTCCCAACTTCAGGACAGCTCAGGCCAGACAACTTGTTTGTGCGGGCAAGGCCCTGGCTGGGAGGAGCTGCACAGGGAAAGTCTGAGCTAGAGGAGCCAAACCTGGAACAAATATTTCTGCAGCTGATCCTACAAGACACAAGGTGGTAGGACAGTATGGAGAACTAACTTGGAAGGGGGTCAGATAGGAGCCTCGGGGGTGTATATTTCTGGGCATGCACAAGAACCTTGCTGCCCATTTAGGACGAGGATGATCTGAGCGGTGTCACTCCCAGGAATCTCAATCTTTTGAGACCTTCATTTTTACCAGCAGTATTAATTCGCCAGAGGCCTCTCGGGGGTCTTCTTCCTCTCTGAGGAAGGGAGGCAAACAAGTGTTTGCCTTGGGGGTGGGGACAGGGAGGCAGCACCTCAGAGCCCTAGGGACTGACCCAGGGCAAGAAGATGGCAGGAAGCAGTGTGGTATCTTGGCGACACCACATGGATGAAAAGATTCGTCCTAGACTCCCTCGCTGGCAGGGGAGGGGCCACCTGAAGGAGACCCTCGGAGCTGGGCTACCGTACAGGCAGCAATCACAGCGGCGTCTCCTCTTGCTCCAGAGCGTGTGGCGGCAGTTCTGTAGAGCCCGGAAGAGAAGCGAGCTTTAGCAGAGCTGGGCGTCTGCGCGGACGAGGCCTCTGGAAGGAGCGCCTACTGTGTACCCGGCGCGCAGCCGCCGAGCGAGCATGCGCACTGGGTAGGGCCCTGTGCTCCGGCTCCGCCCCGGGTTCACCAGAGGCAAAAGTGGCTGAGGAGATGCGCTCAGGTGGGGCTGGGCTCAGGGCACGAGGGCGGGCGAGTCGTGGGGGGAGCAAGGGCTGCTGGGAAGCAGCGGACGGCCGACGAGGGGACGAGCGCCCGGTAAGCGGTGTGTCAGAGCCTGTGTCACCTGCGGGAAGACAGGGTGTCAGAGGCTACCAGTCCAACACTGACCTACAGAAACCTGTACTCAGCCAGGATTCCTTTCCCCCTAACTTTGCTGTTCCTCTGTGGCTTGCCTGAAACTAGGCCTGCCCATGGATAGGGGACTTCCGGCTCACGTGCAAGGCATTTTCTGCTGTGCACTACTGCAGAGTCGCAGGGAGTTCCAGCCAGTGTCCAGCCTTTCTAGGCAGCTGTGCACGGTGCAGCCAGCAGATCTGTGTCACTTCCGATGTTCTGCCCTTTCAAACCCTGCCCTTCACAGCAGCCCCCTCTAGAAGGGATGGCAGTGCCAGACCTACTTCTGGTACTACAGTTTTACCCCAGAAACCTGTCACAGCCTAGAGGCACACAAGGCTCTGCTTAAAACAGTGGAATTTAAGAAAGAGGAAAAGAAGTGGGCGTGGTGGCGTGCACCTACAGTCCCAGGACTCAGGGAGGCAGAGGCAGGCATATTTCTGAGTTCCAAGACAGCCTAGACTACAGAGCTAGTTCCAGGACAGCCAGGGCTACACAGGGAAACCCTGTCAAAAGAGCAGAAGAGGGTGGCAAGGCCAGAGACAGAGCAAGCAGGTGGAAGAGCACTGGGACCACACAAGTGTCCTGTTCCTGCTATATCATTTCAGAACTGGAGCCACTGTTTATATATCTAATGTGTTACCAGGCCTTGCCAGCAGGGCTAGCCAGGATCTCCAATTGTAAAGGAGTGTGCTCCATTTCATTTTCCACTAGACTGATAAAAGGCCTCTGCAAATGTTCACCAGACAGAAAAACACTTTCATTTTCATCTGAAACGAACCTGAGGCCTGACCATTGGATATCTCTATACCATTGCCTGGGCTAGCCTCAAACCCTTAGTCCTCCTACCTCTCTTGTAAATGCTGGGGTTATAGGAATACACCACCACACCAGGCCCTTAAATCTATCTGGATACTACACATTAGCTAGAGACACAGACTCAAATGGGAGTTCTCCACCAGTCTCCTAAGAAGTACACAGCTGGAGAGATGGCCAAGACAGCATCTACAGAGTGAAGAAAGCTGCTGGAAAGTCTGAAAAAGGTGCAGGTCCAGGAGAAAGGCCTGAAGCAACAGCTGGGAAGAAAGCAGGTGTTAGAGGAAGAAGCCAGTTACATGTGTGTGGACTCAGGGAGAGCGGGTTGGTGCTGTTCTTCAGGGCCATCAGCCAGCAGGAAGGAATCCACTGACTTGTTGCTGAGCCGGAATGGTGTCAGGCGGCGGAAGTTGCTGGGAGAGTTGGGAATCTGGACACGGGCCCTCTGGGAGGGCACCACAGTCTCCCCAGGGGACAGCCAGGGTGGCACCCTGGAGAGGATGCTTGGGTCCAGGTCCTCATCAGGGGAGAACACGGGGTTATCAATTCCTAAGAGAAAGGGCAGCTGGTCAAACTCTAGGAAGTCCTCTCAGGGGCAGCAGGAGGCTATGTGTGTGGCTCTGTGCTGGTGACTGTGTCAGGTCCTCTGTGGGTGCCACCTTCAGAGTGACCTGGATGGTCAGAGATTTAACCCTCATCCTACACCTTCCCTTCACATCTGAGACCTCATCCAATCCATACAAGTTCAGTGACACCGCCCTTCTCTCAGATTTGGCCTGTTCTTCCAGATAGACTTGCCCATCTGCCCTGGGAAGACATCTAGGTGGAAGAGGTGACAACTCCAAGACCAATTCTTATCCTCCCCAAGCCTTTGGTTCCTCCTTCAGTGACCAAGCTCCCTTGGGTGGCAGGGACATCTCTCCCATCTCACCTGCCCTAGAGTCAGAGGCTACATCCTTAGTGACACTGGCCAGAAACTCAATGCCCCCGCTGGTCTCTTCATTGTTAGGGCCCTCCTCAGGCTCGGAAAGTTCCAATTCTAAATAACAAAGGGAAAAAAGACTTTGGGTAAGGATGACTCAAGTGCTTGATGACTGGTGGCATCTTCCCACCACACACACACACACACACACACACACACACACACACACACACACACGTGGTTTTTCACAACACTTAGATAGCCCAGTGTCCAAGTGACTAGGGCCAATTATGCAAAGGCCTGACAACTCCTGTGTGCTTCCTTTTGTGACCCCAACCATTCTTGGTATTTGGGAAGGTCTACTGGGGCTGCAACCTTAAGGCCTACACATAAAGGAATGGAGAAAGGTCACTTATCTTTTAAAGTGTGTGTGTATGGGTGCGCAGGTGTGTTGGGTGTCCAAGAGGGCCAAAAGAGGGACATTGGATTCCCTGAAACTGGAGTCACAGGTGACTTAAACTGCCTTATGTTAGTGCTGGGAACTGAACTTGGGTCCTCTGGAAGAGCAGCAATCACTCTTAACCACTGAACTGTCTGTCCTTCCCATAGGGGGAGTGCTTCTCTAGGCTGCAGCAACAAGAGGTTGGGAGAAAAGCACTAAGAGCGCCTAGCCTAAAGGCACCCCTCACCCCACCCAAAGGGTGCATGGAGGGCCAAGTCGGAATCCTGGGTGCAGCCTCGGGTAAAGGCAGGGGCCCCTCCTGAGTCAAGCACATTCAGAGAAGCAGTTCTTACCTTTCTCCTTGATGGTGAAGTTGTGTGCCAGGTTCTCCACAGGCAGCTTCCCGTTAGGAATGCTGCTATTCCTCTGTGGACAAGCATGAGCTCTTATAGATGTACCCACACCCGGGCCCCTAATTTGCAGGGACTTGGTCTCCTGTCCTAAATCCCAAGGGTCTCTGCTCTGGTGAAAGGCTGTTCACCTGGCAGCTTTCCTGGCCAGCAGGACTACAAAGGATTCCCTGACCCTTCTTGGTATTCAGGAGCCCACCCAACAACCACTGACCCCACCTTTCCTCACCCGCTTCTGTGCACGCTCCCTCTTGTACAGCTTGGCTGCCTTCTTGTTCTGGTTGATGCCTAGCTTAGCTGACTTAAAGGACTCCAAGCGCTTCCGCATGGTCCGGTGAAAGATTTCCTTGTCCTGCTTTTCATCCTCATTGGGTGTTAGCTCATGCCGACTATACAGATGCTTGTACTGTGGAAGCAACTAGCAGTCAGCTGAGCCTTGTATGGCCCAGGTGGGTCACAGAGCCTCCAGCTCATCTCTGTAGACCCCTCATCTAAGAAGAAGGCAGAGGTTGCTCTGGGTGTGGGGCTGGGATCCACCAGCCACAGCACACGAGGGGATGGCAAAGGCTCACCCCTCGGGATAGGAGGCTCTGGGCGACACATCCCATGGTACTCACCTCCTGCCGAGGCTTGTACAGGTACTGTTGCAGCGTGTGGTGGGTCACCATGTCCTCAGTGTCACGGATGCTCCTCCGCCTCTGCTCCAAGGACTGCATGTCCAGGCATACAGCACTGACATTTTCCCTCCTGCATGGACCAACACTGAGCCCAGGGGAATAGCTGCAAAGAGGTCTCCTGCCCTGCCTAGAGACTCGGTGGTCCCTCCCTGCCTCGGGACTGCTCAGATGCTCTCTCAGGATGCCTTCTAGATTTCTGTTTAAGGTTGAACCCTAGTAACAGCAGTCCCCCTCCACAGCCCGACTATGAGTCCTGAGGCTCACAGCACTAGAAAGCTAGAACAGCCGTCATCGTAAGAACTGGCCATCAGCTGCCCAGGGCCAGAGGGTATGACATGGTGGGCCATGTCAGGAATCTGCTGCTATCCCTTCCCGCCCTCCTTCTGTTCTCTAATAAAGTGCTCGCAATCACAGTCCTGCTGACTGCTGAGTAAGGATGTGCTTCCACAGATGGGGGTGGGGGTGCAAGCAACTTTCTGTATCCTTCTCCTGTCCTGGTCCACTCACACTTTTCTCACTCAGTTGCCTTAGGCCCTGCAACAGGAACTAGTAGGCTTAAGGGTAACAAGAGAAATGCTTTTAAGGAGTGTACTTTTCCAGGGAAGTTTATGAACTGGTCACATACAAGAGATAGGAGACAGATGCCTCCACAGTAGATGGGCGAGGTGTGCCGAAGTCCACATTGACCATATTGTCCGTACTTGGGGAGCGGATGAAGGCCAGGGACCCACGGCGCTCTCCCTACAAGGGAGACATAGACTTGTTAGCACTCTCATATGACCCTTAGGCAGTACCTACCACATAGATGTCAAAAGATCCTATGACCAAACTCAAGGGCCTCTGGGCTGTGGGAGGCAGAGCTGGAGCCCAGGGAAGTTAAGCTTTCCTGAGACCTGTCCAACGACAAGGGACATCTCACGGCTCAGCAAGGTCCAAGTTGCAGGGTAAGACCTAATCCTAGCTACACAGGATTAGGCCCATATAGAAGCCATCAAAGCCTCTCTTGAGAGGAGCAGAACTAAAAGTTGAGCAGACAGAGCAGTAGGTAGAAAACAGAATCTCTTAAAGAAAGCTAAAAAATCTGGAGTATACTACTCACACTTGAAGGTTGAGGAGGTTGTTTTTTCCCCCCACTGGAGCCTCAACCCATAGGCTTTAGTTTAGATGCAAGTCAGAACAGAGCTAGGCAGGAAGCAGAATCACCAGAGAATAGAAAGCTGTCTTCTTTTGGGGGCTTCAATCAGGAAAGTAAGAGGCTTCTGAGTCTCACAGACTACAGTAAAATCAGGTAGAGTCCCTAAGGGACAGCTTGTGCCAGAGCTGGGAGGGTGGTGGCCCATCAGAGGTGTTCCTCTCTTAACCATGTCAATTCATCATTGCACCGTATAATTTGTGAAGTGCTCTCTTGGGAGCCCTTCGAAGAGGGTGGGAGTTTTTTTTTTTTTTTTTTTTTTTTTTGGATATTCTGGTGACAGAGGAAACACTTGAGACTTGACCAGGACTTCCCACTCCAGGGTATTTGGCTTATCACTGCTCACTGGTATGGGCTGGGGCTTTCGGTCTTTTGCTTCCAAACAACCCAGTGTTCTTTTTCTGTCACTCAAACTCCTCAGGTGTGGGAAGCTCTCTGCTCCATATCATTGGTGATGCCAGGCACTCCCTACCCTAAGGGGACACCAAGAAAGAAGAAGATAGGGGACCCTAGGACAGAGGCTTGGAGCTGACAGGATGGTTGGGTTCCTGGACAAATGGAATCCAAGGGTAGAGGACAAGAATCAAGGTGATGCAGGACAGATGGACAAACCACCCTGTAGTACCATTTCTCCAACAGTGATGGAAAGGATAGTGCAAAGCTCAAGATATTCTGGCTGGTGCAATGGGGAACAGAAGTGAGGCTCAGGGCCCTGGCGAGTGTGAAGTCAGAGCTAAACATTTGCTTAAAAGACTGAGAAAAAGTGACAAGTGACCTCAGTCCCCCACCCCCTCATTCTTATCCTCCATCAATGTCTTGGTGACCAGGTCACCTAGGGACATAAAAGGTTGGAATTTTTTATAAGTTCTGCCTAAGAGAGGAGGCGTTTCAGACTGAGCACATCAGTATTACTCTGAGTGGCAATGGCCATGGGGTCATGTGGTGCCTGGTTGGGATCTATGTCTATTTATAAAGGGTACCATGGGGCCCAGACAGGAGTGCAGGGGTCATGAATGCACTGGCCACAAGATAGTCACACATGTGTCATTGAAGGAGTTGGTATGAATGTGTACATACATGTATGTCTTTTGTATCTATGCATGTCTGTTCATGAGTATGTATGAATGTATGTATGTATGTGTATTAGTGTGCATGTATCTAGGATGTGAGTATTCATGTATATGTATGTGAACATTACTATACATTTGGGTGTACATGTATCAGCCATGACTCTGTGTATGCACAGGTAAGGCGGCTGCTCCTTAAGGTAGTCAGCCAGTAGAAAGGATCTACCAATTTGTTGATGAGTACATATATATGTGTCACATGTCATATATATATGACATATATATATGACACAAGTATATGTGTCAATAGGTAGAGGACCTGGGCCCATTATTCTCTATTTCCCAACCTCTTCTGTACTTTTTTAAAAATATATTTTTTTATTATTTTATTTTATTAATTATACTGTATTCACTTTGTTCCCCCCCCCCATAAGCCCCTCCCTCCTCCCCTCCCAGTCCCACCCTCCCTTCCCCTTCTTCACACATGCCCCTCCCCAAGTCCACTGATAGGGGAGGTCCTCCTCTCCTTCCTTCTGATCTTAGTCTATCAGATCACATCAGGAGTGGCTGCATTGTCCTTTTCTGTGCCCTGGTAAGGCTGCTTCCCCTCACAGGGAGGTGATCAAAGAGCAGGCCAATCAGATTATGTCAGAGGCAGTTCCTCTTCCCATTACTATGGAACCCACTTGGACACTGAACTGCCATGGGCTACATCTGTGCAGGGGTTCTAGGTTATCTCCAAGCATGGTACTTGGTTGGAGTATGAGTCTCTGGGAAGTCCCCTGTGTTCAAATTTTCTGGTTCTGTTGCTCTCCTTGTGGAGTTCCTGTCCTCTCCAGCTCTTACTATTTCCCACTTCTTACATAAGATTCCATGCACTCTGCCTATAGAGCCTTGAAGACTGGAGATTCATATCCAGTTACATCTTCTGTACTTTTAAGGGAAAATACAGGCATTCATTCACCTCTAGACCCTCAGTTCTTCCAAAGCCACAGTATCTAGACAGTCACTGTGCCTGTGCCGCACTGTGCAGTGAGCTCTCCAGGCAGAGAACACGAGTCCCTCACCACTCTCCGCCTAAGCCCTAGATCACGTCCATTGCCTTACTTTAGCCCCCAGGTTCAACAGAGGGATACACGGGTTATTCCAGTACCTCAGCCACATAGCTAATAGCATCCTTCAAATTCAGCTCATGGAAAACGTTCAGGATCCGATCTCGAGATTTTTGAGCTGATCTTCTCATGAGGACTTTGCTGAGGAACTTCCTATCAAAATTGGACCACCTAAGGGACAAAAGATCATATCAGCACTGGGAGTTTGGGACTGCCTGCCCCACGTGAAAAGAACAAGGTCAGAACAGGCAGACAAAGGACTATCCTGGGTTTTCTTTATTGGAACAATCTGAAAGTGAGTTTTAACGTGAAAGGCCATCATGCCACCTCAGGTCTCACCCTTGATCTCTCCTATTTTTGACAGTGGCTGGCAGTGGAACTATATGCCATTTCTTTTTCAAGTGACAAAACGAGCATGTTTCCAGTGGCCATCTGACCCTCCAGGTGCTTTTGAGGACAGGCCAATGTCAAGATACCAGTGGCCATAGTTCCAGTTACCAAGACATTGCTGCCCAAGGTACGCTATTCAGGTTAACTCTGCAGGCTCACATGGACTCTGAGAAATTATCTCAAAACAGGTCCCAACAAGTGTGAAATAAGTGCTTTAGTCATACGGTTCTAAGTATCACTTTATGTTGTCATAAATACATACCAGTTACTTCTGTTTCATGAACAAGATAATTTTAAATCTTTCTTCCGTTAATAAAAGAGGGAAGTGATTTATTTTCCTGATTTTTAATTCCTACATTATTTAAGTTTAGCATTAATTGGTCAGTAAAAGGGTGTCTCTCTATATGCCTGGGAAGATCATCAGGAATAAGATTCAGGTCCCTGGTTTGTTGAATGTTCTGTCCTCTCTGTTATCATTAACTTTGTTTTTCAACTGCTCACACTTGAGGGTCTAATGCACACTTAAGCCCTTAGCCTGGAAATGGGGGTTCATGCACCATAACAAAGTGTCCGTATGTTGTCCTCTGTTCATTATTCTCCCCAACATATATATGTATATATACCTCAGAACCAGCCTAGGACCTGGATAGCTTGTCTCTGGCTCTTTTGAAGACAGAGCTCCTCCAGAAATTGTGTTTTGTGGTTCTTATATTGTGGTATCACAATCAACACAACTTCCCATGCTTTTAGTGGCCTTTCCTGCATCTGTGGGACCCACAGTTCTATGTTTGAGAAGTCAGTGGCAGAAGGAAGAATTTTACAGCTTGGGCTACTTACTTATCTCTGAGATAATTGTGTCCAATTTGTCCTGAGATGTCCTCAATGGCTGAGAGGATGTGGTCGAAAGCCTTTCAGAGGGGAAAACAAAAAACAAAACAAACAAACAAAAAAACTTAATTGGTCATCCTTCCTCACCCTCTGCCTAGCCCCGGACCACGTCTCCCCCGACTGTGCCCTTCCACCTTCTCCCTACCCTGCCATGTAGCTTCTCATTGAGCTTCGGCTCACGCTGCTCACTCCTCTTCACCTTCAGCCACTGCACCAGGGGCTTAATGGTCAGACCCTGAAAGACAGCCTCCCTAATTCTAGTGCCAGGCAGGATTCCCGTACCCCCAGGGCCCTCTAAGCCCAAGCCAGACAGACATTAGATCTCTTCTTCCACTATAAACAGTCTGGGAACCCATGAATCCATTGGCACTACCGTATAAAAAAGGTGCCCCAAAGCCCCTGTGCTGTGAACATCAGAACCTCCAACAGTCTCTTTGACCAAGGTGTAGTACATGCCTGTCAGGGCCTGACCAATCAGCAGTCAGAATGTAACTAGGTCTCCTCTCATCACTCCTGGGCCGCAAGTAGCACTTTTAGGACAAATTGTGCTATGTCCCCTGTGGGGCCAGATGAAAACCTACAAAACGCTCCTAGTTACTAAAATTATAAAAACCAATTAAAGTGTAGAATCTGGAAACAATCAACCTGCAGGGTTGAGGCAGGGCCAGCTTATTTGAGGTGGGATCAAAGTTTGGACATCCCAAGACAGGGCCCTGGGTAAGCTGAGCCACACCTGAAAGATGACCGTGAAGAAGACCACAATAAGAGTGGTGCTGACGAACAGATTTTTCTCCTTGACTTTGTTCTCATCCAGAAGTACCACCAAGGCATAGGCTACCGCCCCACGCAGGCCGCCATAGGACATGACCACCTGATCAATGGTCTCTAGCTGCACCATGCGGTAGCGGTTCAGGATCCAGGTCTGCAGAACAACACCTGTAGCAAGAGGTCACTCAGGCCCATGGCTGCTCCCCCTAGGCCACACCTCAGGGTTTCCCAAAGCCTTTTGCCCCTCTGTTTCTTGGCTGACTGTGAAGGCTGAGCAATGGGTCTGTCTCAGGGACACTATTCATCAGGCCCTCCATGGAATGAAGCGATAATGCTGCACTCACCCCGGCTTTTATCTCCCATTCTGGACTTATTAGCGAGCTGCCCTGGCGGCCCTCAAATCTGTCATCTAAACTAACGGACCCCAGAAACTCCCACGAGAGTGCCTAACTCTCACCGATGGCTCGGTACACAGAAATGAAGACCAGCGTCAGCAACACAAAAGCCGTGTTCCATGTCCAAATGAGGGGGTCCACCGCTGAGATGCCCAGGAACATGAAGATGATGGTCTCCGCCCCACTGGCCAGCATCTTCATCGTGTAGCGCACCGTGGTGGCTGACTGCTCTGAGATGTTGGCCTTCACGTACTTCTGACAGCAGATGCCACAGAAGGTGATGCTGGAGGAAGGGCAGTGTGAGGTCTCCCTGCCTCTGTTCAGGCAGGCTGATCCCTCAGGCCAGATGTTTTTCAGGCCCAGCTCCCACCGTCTCCAGTTTCTCGGGTGGCATTGCAGTCCTCTGCATCGCAGCAGATATAGCTTACAGTGGCCAGTCCTCTGTTGGGCGAACCCTGCTCTTCCAGAGGGTTGATACCCTGAGGTTGGCCTACCTAGCTGCTTTCTTGCTCTAAGGCTAGACATGGAGTCCCAGTGAAGGAACCGCCTTCACACACAGCTGTGTGTGCCTGTTGGTAACTGAGGGGTGACCAGGTCATACTAGCTTAAGAAGCTTGGGGCCAACGCTGGTGTCAGGAGGCTCCTGTCTGAGGCTGCATGGCAGCAGAGGCTCCGGCAGGTTTTCTGGATAGATCATTCTTGGATCACAAGCCATAGCACACCTACCTCTCACCAGGTACCTGTCTAGCCAAGGACAACTCTTATGACTTAGCAACTTCTTATTTTAGAAAAAGAAAATTAGATTGTAAGGCAGAGGTAGGTGAATCTCTGTGAGTTCGAGGCCAGCCTGGTCTACAAAGCGAGTCCAGGACAGTCAAGGCTACACAGAGAAACCCTGTCTTGAAACAACAAAACAAAAAGTTAGATTGACTTATTTGCCCCTGCCAATGAATTTCTACCCAACTGTGAAATCCATGGAGGTGGCAGCTACATGCTGACTTGAAATTCATGCTCCAAGGTGGAGACAATTGGCAGGGACCAGGATTACTCTCAAAGACCCTTCACCAGGAGACAATAGGTAGGGACCATGGGCTCATTCTCACAGCCCCTTCACCAGGATGATGGCAAGGAGCCCAAGGTATCCTTTGCTCACATTGTCCACCTACTGCCAGAGTTTGGATGCAGGGGATCTCTGGCACATCACCAGCTGGAAAGCCACCTACCCAGACTAGCTAACAGCAGAAGGTTGTTTCTTGAGGGGCACTTACGCCAGGATGGCTGACAAGGACAGCATCTCGGAGGTCAGATAGGACAGGTAGGAAATGACAAAGACGAAGCCAGGTTCGATGATGCGCACATGCTTGGTGAAGCGAGTCACTAAGGACAGCAGGAAGGCAAAGATAACACCCACCAGAGTGCCTCCTAGGCTCACCACGAAGAAGGACACTGTGAGAGAAAGGAATGAATGGTCCTTTGTGGCTGGTGGTGAGTGAAGCTGACTGGGTTGGCCAGTCATTCCCCATGGAGAGATCCTGGTAACTACTCACAGCAATGCAAAAGTTTAGGAAATAAGGCAACTTTGCTCTCTATGGCGAGAGTGTCTGGCCTCCAAGTTTAGTGCAGGAGGCAGAGGGAAGAGGTGTGGTACATAGGAGACAGGACCCAGGGTAGGGAGCATTACCTTGATAGCCCTGCAGACTTGGGTCAGTAGCAAGGTCTGAACCCTGTGTCCCTATACACTGTCCATCTGTCATTGCTAAGGAGACCTGGGTTGACTGTCCATATCCCTCTCAGGAGAGTACACAGGATTCCCCACGGACTTCATCCAGTAGTGTTTGTGTGCTGGTCTGGGAAAGAAACCTAGCCTGGCAGTAATTAGGACATAGGCTAGAGACCCCAGGATAGCAGAGGCCACAGGGATGCCATTCTAGAGAGGAAATTAGCCTCAGTTACTCTTTGACCATTATATCTGATGGTCAAATAGGAACCAGCCAGATAGGAACACTCCCAATACATACCTATGCCTTTCACACAATCCACACCGGTCACCTTGTCACCACCCAGCGTCACAAAAGATTCAAAAACATTGTATAAGACCTAAGGGTACAGAAGACAGGAACACAACTAGTCAGCCCTGCAGCCACGCCAACTCCTCCCTATCCGGTGTCCCCTCTTTCCTGGATTTGGGCCCCAGAGTTGACACTTGGAGCAGCTAAAAGCACTTGTAAAGTCAGCACAAGGTGACAATGGTCAACAAGACTCAGAGGGATGTGATCAGCAGGTGGGATATGCAGACAAGTGAGTGTCCCAGATCCAGGAAACAGGCCCAGTCTCCAACTCGTGTTCTGTGTGCTTACAGGCAGGTTTAAGAAACATTAGGATACAGCCATGGTGGGCACTGAGTCCTCAGCAAGCCCTCTGTGGAGTTGCGCTTCTTTGTGAGGAGGAAGGAGGAAGAGGCGTGAACCATGAGGGCAGGAGGGACCCCTCAGTCCACAGGAAGCTCACCCAACTACATACACAGGGAAGTGCTCAGGGCCACTGTGGCTCGGGAAGGCAGAGAGCGACTTTCTGAGCTCCATGCTAGGTCTCAGGTGGGCCTCAGAGTCCACAAACAGAAACCTGATACCATGCACCTTACTGTGTTCCTGAATAAGACATGGGCAATTTCAGAGGGCAGAAGAAACCAAACACACTTCCTCAGGTGTCAGCTAAGTGCTTGGGTCCATTCTTACCAGCTAACCCTTCATCCCCTCCCACAGACCTGTACTCCATCTGGGGACAGGTTTTGAAATTTCCACAGGGCTGCGCTAAAGCAGCAGCAATGCTCATGTTTCCTGAACATGCTTCTCACTGCCAGGATGATCATAACCCCATCTTTGTGGACCCCTTATCCCTATCTACCCCACTGCACGGGTTTGAGAAACCCAGATGCCATTAGGGGAATCTTGACTCATGAAGGAGCTGAATGTATTCCCTACACTTAAATGTCGAGTCCTGACCACAACACCTCAGAGTGTAGACGTTTCATAGAAAGTCTTCATAGAAGTAGTCAAGGTTAAATGAGAGCAATAGGGTAGATATTGATGTATATGAAGAGAGAAACACATAGACACACATAGATGAGCATGCAAGGACACAGAGAGAAGAAAGCATCTATAGGCTAAGGAAAAAGGCCTCCAGAGCCAGATGCCATGCTCGGTTCTCAGCCTCCAGCCTTTAGCATGGAGACAATAAATTCTCACTGTCTAAGCTTCAGGCTTCTGTAGTATTTTGTTATGGTGGGCCCAGCAGATTAATGCAATTTCTGTAAGACTTTATTTGTTCATTTATTCATCCATTTGTTTCTTATGAAGTGGGAATATCAAATGTGATCCAAAGTTATAGACCTCTGCTCTAGGGGGTGTAGATATGGGGATTTCAACAGGGCAGCATTACTGCCAAAGTCATGAAATGGTTGGGCCTAAGACTGCAAAAGAGAGAAATCAGATGAAAGTGAGTTAGGGATCCAGAAGAGGGTCAGAGCTGTGCCTCCTCCAACTCATACCCCAAGGCTGTTGCACCAAAGAGAAGGAATGGATGACAGACATGCCCTGCAGGAGCTGAACATCCTAGATTACAAACGTGGCTGTAAAGGCAGGCCCTGTTCAGATAGTGGCCCCTTTCTAGCTTATCTACTCGAGGCATATGGTTAATGCCCACTTGGCAAGGTACCCTAGAGCCTCCAAGCAAGTCAAGTATTCTGTAGCCACCCCCCAGGAACCCCACCATCACTCACCACAGTCACTGCATCATTCAGCAGCGACTCCCCAAAAACAATGATGAACAGGACTTCATTGACATGCACTTCTTCAAACACAGCCAGCACAGCCACTGGGTCCACAGCAGCAATGAGGCTACCAAACAACAAGAAATCGAGGAGTCCGATCTTCAACTCACCTGCAAGATATGCAGACCGTGGGACAAGCGCTAGCCATGTGGTTCCTTCTCTCCACATCTCCCAGCTCTCTGGAAGGTCAGAGACCTCAGGAATAAAGGCAAGGCACAAGTCTTCTCAGGCTACCCAGCGACAAACAGGAGCTCAGAGACTGGATCTCACAGCCAGACACCCCAGAATGTGTAAGGCTTACACAGTTCACCAACATGGTGCTTCACTCTCCTTTTGGATCTGGGGCAGATTCCTTGGCCATCGTTTAAGGCCAAGGAATGAACATTGGGAAGTACCCCAGGAAGGAGTAGTGGACACAGGGCAGAGCGGTCTCTGTCGTGACCTGAGCCCATATGTCTGCGATTACTAAATTTTGTTGTCTTCAGCTAGTACCGGAGCCTTTTGGACTTTCCACTCAGAAGTGGACCGCACACCTAACTGCCACATCATATAAGCCCTGCCCAGCTTTCCAGAGCAAACTAGCTTCTGGGCCAGCCTTGGAATGCTACAGCAGGGCCAGCCTCTCGGCTAGAATCTTGGCAGACCCAGAGTGTATTCCAGAAACAAGCTGGATTCCAGCAGATGTTCAGTCCACTGATCAGGAATGGCTTCGCTGCCTGGGCAGTGTAGCACATTTTCCCTGTGCCTGGAGCTAACCTTCCAGTAAGGGTGCGACCCAGCCTTGAGCTCCTCTCTACATAGACTGACTGCTGCCTAGGCAAATGTGGGCATACCATCAGCCAAAGTCACAAAAGAAATGGAGCTCATGGAATGAGGATGATCTTTCTGGTCCACCTTGGCCAGGTACGTCCCAAGGGTGGAGCACAAACTAACATCCTAAGTCTATTATGAGAGTGTGACCCTAACTGCAGACAGTGATATACAATAATACTGGTTATTAAAAGACACTGCAGTGTAACAATTTTTCATGGTTATGGCATGGTTGGAAGATGGGCATGTCCCTGGAGATTAAAATGCTCTAGAGTTTGGTGACCATGTAATTTCCTGTGTAAGCACATTTGCCAAGATTCAACCAACTGTTTTTAAAAGCCTATGCTTACATCATAAATCAGTTAGTTAGAGCCTTCTCCATGTACCCTAAAAACAACTCCAGGAACATCGCATGCTGGAATCTTATGGGTGACAGAGCTGTCAAGTGAGGGCTAGCATGTGATCCAGAAGTCTTTGCTCTATATCTCAAGACATCTCTCTAGACTCAGAAGCCAGAGGCAGCCAGGCATCTGAGATCCAAATTACCTTATGACATCACCAATGTGACCAGTAGTACCCACTTCAGAGCAAGGTGCCCATGGTTTTAGAAGCCAGGCATGTCCTTGCCCTTGAGGTCTTTGTTTAGTGATGATGGATGGCTGGGACAAGGAGGGGGGCTCCCTAAAATGATAGGATCTTAAGTAATTGATAGTTCTTGATTTTATTGCTCCCTGTTTCTCCTTGGTCTCTAAGGTTTCTAGGGCATCATTTTCTCAGTGAATTCTCTGAGTCCTCCTGTGAACATCTACTTACATCTGTTCAGGCTTCCCCGGCTGTCCCCCAGCTGGACAAAGATTCAGCACAGAGGGGTGGGTGTTCCTGGGAGGTAACCAAGGCTAAGTAAAATAACCACCAGCATATTAGAGCAGAAACAGCACCAAACCACTCAAGACTTTGGGGTGCTCAACTCTGCAATTCACTGATGAGGCTAGGAGCACGTTCACCTCCTTCTCCCATGGGGCTTGAACAGCGGGTTCCCACCACTCTGCTAACTGTGACAAGAGTAATAATAGCTGCCTATGCATACCTACTTCCCCTGATGTCTGTGTGGCCACACATCTGTTCTGAACATGACACAGAAGCCTTTACCTTACAGATGTCCCAAGGAAGCTAATTGTAGATTGAACCCTTTTATACATACCAGGCTCTTCACTTAAGTCCACAGAGATGCTGCCCAGCACCCTTAGCCCCAGCCCTTCTATATCTGTGATCTGCACTGTTACCTTGGCTACACAGAGTGACTTGAACTCACCCATAGACTTACCCATTAGGCCACTGAGGAAGACACCATAGAGGGACAATCCTGTCGTGGCTGCATTCCATATAGTGCCAATGACAGCATAAAGTAGAATGGTGCCCAAGTTTCCAAAGAAGAGCCGATTAGGCATGAAGTATCCAGCGTCCAACACAATGGGGGGTAGCAGGTAGAAGAAGAAGAGCGTGGGTGTGAGAGTGAAGGAGGCGATGTGGTCAGCTGCCCAGACGATGCCACCCAGCACCAGGCCCAGAACGATGAGCAGGGCACTCTCGGGGACAACACTGGTGACCTTGTGGGACAGGTGAAAGACTGTGGGAAGGAAAGAGGATCAGGAATATCAGAGCCCATAAGGGACCCCAGGGGCAAAGAGAAAATCTGGAGAAGTGGGTGGAGTCAGGGGGCCAGGACCCCACCCCCACAGCAAGGCCCCATGAGATCAGGGTGGTCACTGGTTTCTTGCAAGCTTGAAGACCCTTGCTATAGGAACAGCTATCAGCAGTTCTCAGTCTGTGTGTTGCAACCCCCAAAGACCATCGGAAAACACAGATTTATTTGCATTACAATTTGTAACAGCAGCAAAATTAGCTATGAAGTAATAATGAAAATTTTATAGTTAGGTTGTCACCACAACATAGGGCGCTGTATTAAAGGGTCTCAGCACCAGGAAGGTTGAGAATCACTGCCCTAGGTGGACCTCTTCCTAGGTACCTGGGATAATGTAAAGATCTATCTTCACAGCCACCCACAGTTAGTGATGGATGAGAGAATGCTGATGATGAGCAAGTCCCTCTAGGGATAAGTTGTTCCCACCCAAAGCTGGCACATGTACACAGAGCCAAGGCCAAGAGCAGGATAGAACTCGGCCACACCAAGCCAGTGTCTTTATCTTACGGACTCTCCTAGTTCACACAAGGGTAACAAAGTACGAATGCTGGATGACAAACCCTTCTACCCCATGACAGATGCCACAGGTGGAGGCTACATAGCAATTGAGAGGAAATGGCCTAGGTTGAGCAGTTGGACATCTTTTGCCCCTCAGGTAGATTTCCCCATTTGGCCTCCATGTTCCTGAGGTTAAACCTATCCTGTTGCTGCCATCTTTAGGAGACTCGTGCTCCTCATATCCCCTTTGGGGTCACAGCCACCTAGGAGTAGCAGCCACTACAGCAAATGTCTCCAGAAAACCAGGCAGGAACTGGTTGGCTTCCTGATATTCAAGTCTGCAGGAAACCTACAACCATCTTCCTCAGAACCTTCAGGCTCCTCAGTCTCCTCAGCCATCATCAACCCTGCTAGGCACTTGCTAGGTGGTGCTGGTAATCCACCAGAGTCTGGTCTCAGATAAAGCATTTCCTGGTCAGGGTAATGATGGTGGGGCCTCCAGGATGTTTTTGGACCCGTCCTTCAGAACTGGATAGCCTGGACAGGGCTCCCCGGCTGATTTCTCCACAGGTAATTACGGGGATTGCAGGGATTAGGTGGGCTCTTCCACCCAAGGGTGGAGGTTGCTTCTGTCCTTAACCATGGCAATCCTGAACTGCATACAAACGGTGCCCTAGTGCTTTCCAAGCCTGGAGAGAAGAAAGTGTCACATCAACTTGGCACCAGAAACTGTCAACCTTGTAGCCTATCACCAAAATCATTAACATAATAGAGACTGTCACGTCACTGGTTACCACCTATAGTCCCCATCCAGACTCTGAGCTCCAGGGAGGGTCAGGTCTTAGCTGGCACAGACAAATGGCTTATGCTTTGGGGATTGGAGGCACTGCCTGCCTGTGCCCCCACAGGTGCTTTTCCCATCCCAGCACTTCTTACCAATTTGAATCAAGTTTCTCCTCTCTTTTCTGAGAGTTTCCACTAATATCAGCTAGGGTTAGCTATGTGGCCACAAACATGATATAATTTCTAGGACACGTTGGGTGTCTGAGACGAGTACGTAAGAGAAGGTACCAACTTGGAATGATGGAAGCTGCTGAAGGGGGTTGCTGAGGGTACCTCAGGGCTCTGCACAGGGTTAATCAGTGTTTGGTGGTACCAGGACCACCAGCAGAAAAATATCTGCGAGGTGTGGCGTTCCTGGGGTTTACATTACATTCTCTCACAGGGTGCTCTCTCACAGGGAGAGGCCATAATGTGGATGAGAAAGTCCTAAATATGGGCTGCTCACAGGGAGTTGGGGAAAATATGTATGGCATCACCAGTCCCACACAGAAAGTTTGCATCTTCTCTTTGGATCCTATGGGCATGGGCATTGGCAGCCCAAGAATCCCAGAAAGTCTTGACACCCAACTTGGGACCCCAGACACAACAGATGCTGAACCATCTTAGGGCTCTGCATTCTTCGATCCAGGGGAGTTGTGCTGAGTTCTTGTGGACCTTACAGAGAGACTGTGATGCCAGAGGAACTCTAAGAGCCCAAGCCTTGGCATCCCACTTCTCTGAGTTAAGAGAAGATCCCGCTTCTTATTCTTTCCAGTGACTATAAATGTTGGGCTCTGGGTCCAAAGGCTGGATTCAGAAATGTCTGAAGCCATTGTGTCCCCAAAGATTGATGGCAGCTGCTCCATGGCCATAGCTTCCATGTGTTCTGGTTGTGGTTCAACTTCTTTCTAAAGGGTGAAAGTCATGCCTTACCTTGGTTCTCTTCTCCAATCCCATAAGACCCAGACTTCCGGGAAGTTATGTAGCAGCCACAGAGTCCATGTGCATGTCCGGCCTTTCTTCATACTCTGGGCTGGCTCCAGTTGGGGGGTCTCATTTCTGCTGTGCCCTACTCATAATCTCAGCCTGAAAGCTGGTGCCCTGTGCCTTTTGGGTCACTGGAGGGTGAGTTTCTTTGAAAGACCATGAAAAAGGACCAAAAAAATCTCTGAGCTCTGACCACACCCAAGCTGTGAGGTTGCCTTCTGCTCAGGACTTTGGTCTTTTCCTACACTCTCTGTCTGTTGTACAGACCACAAATATCTCAGCTCTGTTGAGTTCCCTTTGATAGTCAAGACTAGGAAAGGTACCAGAGCCATTCTTATCTCTAGAACAACAAGGCAAGTCTGCCCCTTAGACACTATTACCTAATCCCTTCTGTGTGGTTGCTGATGACTGTAAGATCTCAACAGCTGGAGTCTAGAGGCATGGAAGACAGGCTAGTTTCAGATCAACTGCTCTTCCTCAGAAGTAGGCTCTGATAAATCCCAGGAAAATGACAACCGCTTCATTTTCTCAGAATACCCATCTGTGTGTGGCGTGGGTGGGGGAAGGACTACCTCTGTCCCTTGCCATCTCTGTGACAGCACCAACCCTGAACATAATTTACACACATGAAAGACGCCAGAAGACTGAAGGACTCTATGTTCTTAGGTCCAAAGTGTCCCCTGGAAGAATGCTGCTGCCCCCTGCCTGCCTCATACTCCAATATCTCATTGAAGATTGACCCCCTGCTTTCTTTTTACTGTCTGTGGGTACTGGCTATCTTTTCATGATTAAGATACTTCTGTTATGGTCTGTGAGTTGTTATTTACAGAATTTGATAACTTCTTCATTGGAGTGAAGAGTCCCAATCCTTTCATAAACTGAGCCGTAAAATCCTCATTCCTTCCTTTACTGCCAAATAGCCATCTTTTCAAGCATGCCAATGTACCCCTTATAATGTCCTGCTCTTACCAAGATTTGTCTGGATGTGTTCTGGGTGATCTGTTCCTAGAGCCCCAAGTAGACATTGCTCCTTGTGCTTCAGGAAGGGCTCATGCTAGCCTGCTCTGCTTATTTTACAAGTTTGCTGTAAAAGACACATTTCATCCTTAAGAATGACTTGAGAACAGATCTTAACATGAATGCTCCCCCTTTCAGCTTGTGGTCTTTGCTCCTTGTATTTGCAGGGGGCATCCTGAACTCCAGAGCATGTGGCTGGTTCTGTGTGCTTTGATAGTTCCCCATGGTGTTTCTATAATGGTCTGAAATGGAGCACAGGTACCCACACATGGAACTACCTACCCAGGTTTCCTCCTCTGTGCTATCCCTTCATCTTCTTTTCACTGTTAAGTCTCAAGCTTTTCATCTTGTAGTTGTGCAAGCTGAGCCATCTTTCACTGTTTTCTGCTATTCTAACTTATTTCTTGGGTCTGATGTTGGCGGGCTTGTGCATAATTTTCAAGTCTCTGAAAATCCTGTCCAGGTTATCACATCTAACAATGGACTCTGGGTCCTGAAATATGCACTCTGACCCTGTATCTCTGGCGAATCTGAGGTTTTATTCATCTTCCTTGGGTCTGGACCCTTTCCTGGTTCATGGTGTCATTAAGTTGCCCTTGAGCAATCTCTGTGCATTGCGTTCCTGCCTGACTCGGACAGCTCTCCTGCTGACCTCAGCCACCTTTTCTGGGGCCTGTGTGTTCTTCTGGGCTGGGTGGCTCCTCTACTCCTCATTCTTCTGCAGCCAGTTTTGCTATGACCACAGTGAAGAACGTCAGAGAAACCTGGCTCTGGGCCTCAGTGGCCCTGGGTTGGCAGCTGACCATCTGTTATAGTCTGGGATCACCCTCCCTCAATGGAATACCTGGTGGATAGGGGCCTACTGGCCCAGTCTGTTCTGGCTCTTGAATGTCCCTTAACTCCTGAGCAGTAATTTGCATGGTAATTAGCTACTTAAGCTAGAGGTTCAATTAGCTTTAAGTAGCAATTTGCTAGTGGCTCAGCAATTACAGACATGATGGGCACTCTAGAACTTAGTAATCCAGCTGCTATAGAACGATCCTACAGTAAACAGTAACTGCTTCCTGTTGCTGGAAGGGGGAAGGCCTGGAGTTGGACACACAGGTCTGACGTGTGGCAGGAGACATTCGCTCACAGGAATGGCCGGAACATGAGTGATTGCGGGTCAGGGCCAGCTTCTTCCAAGGTGCTGGGTGCATTTCTACTGTGGTCTGCTGCTTTATGGATGGCCATACAGGTTTCTGCGGTGAAATATACACTATATACCAGGCCTTTCTTCCTTCCTATATGTTCTGTCCATGCCAAGACGTGCTCATCATTTGGTGTACCCCTCTCACCGAGAAGTAGGGGCTGCTGCGCCTGCACAGTGACTTGAGGAAGCAAGGCAGAAAGAGGACCTGGTGGGGCCTAAGGAATAGGTTTCAGTAGCCCCTCACAATGGCCTTAATCTGTGTATGGCTGGAAGCCCAGCCTTGGGGACATGGAGATGCTGGTGCGGTATGGAAGGAGAATTTCTTCCCCAGAGGGGAGAGCCGGACTCCTCAGCTCATACAGCTGCAGGGGATAGGAGTTTGTGGCTGTGACATAAGGAATAGGCATGC